ACAATCAGCTATATTTGTTAAGGCATATGTATGAGAATTACAATATGAGTTTGCTTTTGAATGAGTCATCATCAGTACTATAAGAATACTGGCTTTACACATAAAACTGAATGTTAAATTTAATTTGGTTAGTCATATTGCAAAAAATACTATAAAGAAGCTGTATTAAAAGTTGATGCTATCTACTGAATAAAATTCTTACTCTGTATTATATTGAGAATATTAATGACTTGGTACGGCCTGATTATGTTAGTCCCAAAATTCTACCAAAATAAACTTATTTTTAGTCTTAAGACATTCTCCTAAGTATGAGACTGAAAACAGTAACACAACTCACTATATTTAGCTGCCTGATTTTTTGTTTGTTTGTTTTGGTAATGGTGATTGAACTCAGAGTCTTGTGTATGCTAAGGATACATTCTACCATTAAGCTACATATATCCAGCCCTTTAGCTACCATCTTAATTTATTTCATGGTATATGCAATGCAGACTAAGCAGTTGCAACAAAGAGCTTTACACATTAAGAGCTTGGGTTTTAAAATCAGCCTGGAATCAAACAGCTTTACTAGCAACAGTGGGACCTTAGGCAAATTACTTCATTTTCCTTGTACTGCAGTTTCATGGTCTGCGAAATGAGGCGAGTAAAAATATCTACTCAAAGTGTTTTACAAGGACTATATCAGAAAATGCCCATAAGGATGGCCAACACATAGTAAATATTTCATAAATGTCAGGTACTATGACTAGCCTCAAATTTACTAACTGATGATGCCTTTCATTCTATTTTTTTAAAATTAAACTTCAGGGCAATTTTTCAGCAGTGCTTAAAATTCTTAATGCAAATATTTATTGTGTATTAGTAATATACGCCAGGTACTACACTAAGCACAGGACATTATAAATACCACAGTCAATGAGCAAATTATGTAACAAACTTATAAGCATGTTAAGATACTTGTTACCCTGAACTCTGGTAAAACATGCCACAGAGTGGGCAAAAAAGCTACAATGACAATGTAGGTGGTCATTAAACAATACAAATTCTATTAATAAAATCATGTCAGTGGCAGGAATTACCTTTTATTTTGGCTAAAATTCTTCTAGAGGTCTAGTCAACTACTTAGCACAAAGCATTAGAAAAGAAGTTTCCTGTCTGATTCCTGGGTTTCCCAGCCCAGCTTTTATTACAAAATAGGTGCTCAATAAAGATTTATCTTGCCTAAGACAATATGAAAAGTAACAGAACTAACAGTGGTTCAGAGGAGACACTGCCACCTACTGAGAAAACAGGCTCATTACCTAGTATGATAAAATAATGCTAAGAATTTTCCAAATTAAGACTTGAACCAACTTAAAATACTACATGTATGTTTACTATATGTAAACATTTAGGCTAGGTTTTGGTATTTTAAAATGTGGATGAGTCTCCATCTTTGTTTCCTATGAAGTATAAAAAAACAAAGACACTGGGTATAGTGGCATACACCTGTGATCCAGCACTCTGGATCACAGCACTAAGGTAGGAGGATCATAAATTTGAGCTTAGCCTAGGCCATTCTGTGATAGCAAGACCCTATCTTAAAAGTAAAACATAAAAAAGCCTGAAGGACCAAAGGGTTTCATTCCCATGACTGCAAAATAAAATGTGATTACTAGCCCCTCAAAAACTAACATCTCAGGAAATTTGCTAATAATGCAATTAAGTTTATCAAACAAGAGCATAGATTTCAAGATTTACGCACTGACTCCAGTTACACATGGGTCACAACAGCATCCATGTCATAAAGCTATTGTGAAAACATTAATAATGTATACCAAGTGCTCCATACACCACCAAGCATACAGACGGCTCTATGGTTATTCATATATGTAGAACAGCATCCTAGAGAATCAAGAATATAATACTAATATCAAACATTAATTGCTAAAGTCTGGCTTCATAAAATTAATTCAGTGGCAGTTTCTCCAACAAGTACTTTGTTATTATGGGAATCCTAAAACTACATTATTTGTGGTAGTCTGTGACTAAATTTTGTATTACTAGATGATTAACTCTTTCAACATCAGGCAAATAAAACTGCCTTCTGAAAGTAGAAATTGTATTTCTTACCAAAAAAAGCAAAAAGCCAGTAGAATGAAAGACTCAAGAGACCACAATCTGAACATATGCTTAACAGAGAAAGATGCTTGCTGACTCTTTACAGATTTTGCTAGAACTGAAAGATGGATGATACATTTAGCTACCACTGTGGTCTCATTCGCAACTTGTTTAACTTACAAAAAAATGAGCTTTGCTCCTTTTTCCTTGAAAATGATCAGAATCACTTAACTGTTTTGTGTCTTTTGAATTTTTACCACTAAAATTTCACGTAAATCCACATGTCATCTGTTATTTGCAGACAAGATTTTTTGGGCAAAATGTTCCTGCATTAAAAAATAAAATGTGAGACAAGAATATGATATGATGGATCAATTAAAAATAATTTTTCAATGAAAAATTTAAGGACTGTTTGAATTCAGGATTCTGACCTGTATTTAATGAGTAAAATATTTCAGAGTCTGAAACAAATTTTCATTTTTTACAGATCTATACCATTCACAAGAATTGTGCTAATTCTTAGGTGGTTTAGAGTTACTTAACTTCCTAAGCTTCCTCTTTTAAAAATAGGCAGCAAAGAAAACAGAAAGTATGCTTAAATATTTTGAGCTTTAATCTGTAAAGATATACTAGTATATAAAAAATTATTTTCTAAATTTACTACAAAAAGTTTTAATTTCATATGTTATGATTTGAACATTTTAATTTCTAAAATGCTCTTGGAAATCATTCTTCCTTCACATTAAAACAATGTGAATATAACATGTCTTTAACTTTATGTACTTATTTCACAATACAATTGGCCTGAAATGGCATGTATTTTAATAAAGGAAAGGAAAAAGTTGACCAATAGAGTATGGCAGGGTAGTGAGTTTTCTTTTTTTCAATTTTGAGATGGTTACCAGCATTTTAAAGTATAAGTTCCATAAAGGCAAGTGTATATTGGTGGGTGACAAAATAGCAATTCATTTTATCTTTTGTTTGTTTTAATATAGCGCTTTTCAGTCTACAAAGCACTTTTACTGTGACTGTCTCACAGTATCCTCATAAATATTTTCTTAGGGAAGGCAAGCACTAGTACTAGTAGTGTCTTTTAGCAGATAAAGGAATGGAGCTTCAGAAAAGGCAAAACCTTATGTAAAGTCATTGAAGTAACCCAGCAAGAGCATAAGCCCTATGTTATTGAACTACTAAAATACTTCATATTTTCCATTGTACTTCTGGAATAGACTTGTTAGACTAAGTATCTCCTGTCTAAAAACCAAAATTGACAAAACTAATTACACTGGGCTAATCTAATGATAAAATCCTGTCAATAACAAAAAATGAACTGCTTGAAGTAAAAAGCAGATTTTAACTTCATTTGTAGTGAAAATTTCAAAAGCCTAAAAAGCAAATTAGACATTATATGGAGACAGTCATGAAACCTCTGAAGAGTCTGAGAAAATAACTGTGTTGCCAATTCCTACATAACTCTCTTCATTTATGCAAGGACTTAAAGTGAATACAAAGAACTTTTAGGGATACATTTTAGAATTAGACATCAGGTTTAGACACTGAATGGTAAATAGAGAAATCCATTTATCTTTTCTTATTATTAGACTGTTTAGTTTTTGTTAATGTGATAGTTAATATAAACCGTATTTTGTTGCTTGACAATTCTATCATTCATGGCAGTACTTTATAAATTTAAATATGAATTATACATATATCTTCTCTATAAAGTTTAGAATAAGATAAATCTTAATGTTTTGCATTATTTTAAAGATAATTCACCTAGAAAAGCATAATATAATCCATTCTATGATAAAAAATTTCAGGTTTATAATAACTTAGTACATATCACAGCACTAACCTAGCACATATCACAGCATTAACCAATTCAAAATGTACTGACTTAAACTTAACTTTTTATATGCTTTGTCAAAACAGCTCTACATTAAATATATTACATATTTACTTGTATATTTATATAAATATTCATATATGTAGCTATCCTAGCTTATAAAAAATAGCAGATGATATTACATAGCATTCTAAACAAATCAAAGAAATACAATACTTTTCGTATAAGAAATTAATATATGAAGAAAACAGAATTGCAATTTTGAGAAAGACAGCACTGTACTGTAATGCAGAAGTGTGACATTCTAATTTCAGGATAAAAACTAAAGAAATACATGAAAAATAACAAATTCAAGTAATTCTTAGTACGCCACCATCCTATTCCTGAAAAATTATCCAAAGTTTTACTTTTCTTATGGGATAGTATGAGTTTTTTTTAATTTTTTTTTTTTTTTTTTTTGTCTTTTTCTTTTTTATCGGTACCAGGGATCAAACCCACAACTCCCTGCTTGCAAGGCAGGCACTTATGTCGCTGAACTAAATCCCCAGCCCCGATAGTATGAGTTTAAGGTTGAAAAAGACAATAGATCTTATTTTAATAATATATGTAATATTTAATTTTTTGTCTAGTTTTTGTGTTAAAAATGTTCAACCTGAACTTACAAAAAAGCTTAAGTAAAAAGAAATTAATCCAGTATGCTAGTAAAAACACTAAATACATACTCTTTGAGTTATTTACCTTTTAAATTCAGTTAACATAGTCTCAAATAATTTTTAGGTAGATTTAATTCATTTCAATGGGTTGATAAAGTAATTCTGTGATTCAAAAATAAGATGACACTCATTAGGTGTACTTCTGCCAACATTTAAATTCTGCACTAACCTCATAGAAAAAAAAAACCTCAATAGAATCTATTCAGTCTTTCTGGCTGTTATAGTATAGTCAAGAGAGTTTACTGCTTCAAAAGATAAACAGACTTTATATGGTTAATGATTGCTGGTACATAATAAATGTAAAGATTACAATAAATATTCTGATCAATCACAGCACTTACCACTGAAATCATAAATGTAAAGAAGAATTGGCTCATTTTGCCCAAATGCACAAAATGCAACCATATTTTCAAAAGGATGGTAAGAAATGTCTCGAATAGGTGACTTGAATGGTAGGTCAGAATACACTGCTACTTGTTCTCCTAAATAAAAAAGAAATTCAATAATTTGTACTATATCAGGTATTTCTCATTATAAGATTATTCTACAACTTATTAAAATATGTACAGTAATAATGGAGCTTATATTACAGGAAACCTCAAAATGTAAATATTTAGGTACTACTATATTAAATAATAGTAATATTTTGCATTCTGTCAACCCTCCTCTTTGTATTTCTCAATTTAACCTCTTCAATAAGGCTACTGAGGCACAAAATTATATGCTTAGAAGGAAGCACACAGGTATATGGCTACATGATGTGACAGAGCTGAGCAAATTATAATCAACAAAGAGCTCTGGGGAAAATGAGGGAAGGAATTAGCAAACCCAAACACTGAGGCAACTCTCCAGTTAAAGGAGGATTGGTAGGGATTTTTCCCTCACAAGCTGAAGTTCCATCTGCTTAAAAGATACACATGACTACAGCACAAAGATGCCTAAAGCACATGCCAATAAAATCTGGGAAAATCAGCAAGAAGTCAAAAAGCAAAGAGATCTATTTATTAAAGGAAGAGAGCAATACAGTGCTTCAGCATCTATGGTAAAGCATGGTATACGAAAAAAAAAAAAAAAACTTGTTAAAATGCTCATGTAGTTTTAATTTTTCTTTTGGAAACCAAAGATGATGAACAAGTGAATTTGTTGATGTGATTATTTATTTGAAAATATCTTAACTGCATTACAATTGCTAAACAAGTTTCAGACATCAAAAACTTCCACAGGACTGTTTTTATTTTTAAAGAACATATACAGTGAATATTTAACTATCTATCTACCTACTTGTAATTCAACTTACAATATTTTGTGTTTTGCATTATAGTCTTCCTTAAGTTCCTAAGAGTAGCAGCAGCAGTATTTCATATGCAAGTATAAACCTTGAATTATTATGTAAAATTTTAAGACTGTGATGAAAGCAATACAGAATAAAATTTAAGTTTAGACAGTAGCTGAGTTTCACTATCCTGAAAAAATAACCAGACACTCGAAATTAGCATTTTCTTGAAAATTACTTTATAAAATGATACCTTTGAAACCTCCATCTCTAACCCTCCAAAACAGATTTGATGGTCACTAAATACTTACCTGTTTCTGGGTTCCAAACATATACTCTGCCATCCTCACTTCCAGCAAAGAGGTAAGTCCCACACGGTGTCAAAGTACTATGAATCTTCTCCCGATAATTTGCTGCACCTAAAAATTTCCTTGCTGCTAATCTATAAACAACAGATAAATAAATAAATAATTTTATTTTTACAAATGTAAATTGCCTTAACCATTTAAAAGAATGGGGGCAGAAATATTTTTCTTTTAAATATTTACTTTGCATCATCAAACTAGTTTCAAAAATCTGTCAAATGGTAGGCATGCTCTGATGCACATATCATAGATCTAGGCATCATATGATGTAGGCCCTTCTAGAGCAGTGATGGCAAACCCTTTTGAGCTTTCCATGATAACAAAGAGCCCACTGTGGCATGCATATTGTAGGTTCGCCACCACAGTTCTAGAATAAAGTGCTGGCCTCAGTGCTTGGAGAGCTTAGAATTTTGCAAAAAAGAGAAAACATGCATCGATATAAAATAGAAGGTGGATGTAGAAAGCACCACAAAATAAGAACAGTAAGAGTAATTTGCAGATTTAGGAAAGACACTAACTCTATGTTATGAAGTCAGTGACTATGAAGGTAGCATCTAAATTGATTCCTAAAATACAGGAGGACTTTTCATGCTGTTTTCTTCCACACAGTGGATATTTTTAATGATAAAGAAATGCTTGGTATCTGAAGGAACAGTAGATAAAGTGTTGTTAAATAATCTACTAAATATGATATATAAGCAGATATTTTCACTTATGAATAAAAAACTGCAACACTTACTAGAAAGTCAGGTAGTGTTAGATACACTGCTCTGTAACCTGTTCTTTGCACTGAAGAACAGATGAACAGAAGAGACCTGGAATAGCAAAGGCCATTCTGGATAACAAAGGCAAGGCAGGAGGCACCACAATCCCTGACTTTGAAATTATATTACAAATCTACAGTGATAAAACCACCATGGTGCAGGCAAAAAAACAGACCTGATGATCAGTGAAATAGATTAGAAGATGCACACAACTACAAACACATTCAGCTACCTTATCTTTGACAAAGGGTCCAAACATATCCAGTGGAAGAAAGATAACCTCTTTAATAAATGGTGCTGGAAAAATTGGCTTTCCACATGCTGAAGACTAAAACTAGACAAATTTTTATCACTATGCACTAAAGTAAAAATGGATCAAAGATTTAAATATTAAATAGAGACACAATCTACTGGAAGCAAGGTAAGTAGAAATCTTGAAGACATAGGAGTAGGCAGAGAGTTCATGAACAAAACTCAAACTGCACAGGAAGTACTTCAAAGAATCAACACCTGGGAGCTCATCTTATTGAAAACTTTTTTGCACATCAAAGAAAACACCAACAGAGCGAAAAGATAACTCACAGATGGGAAAAAAATTTAGCTAACTGTCCCTCAGACAAAGGACTTCTACTTAGGACATATAAAGAACTGAAAAAAATCAGGTCCCCAAAATTCAAAGACCCAATCCAAAAGTGGGCATCTGAGATGAAAATGCACTTCTCTGATGAAGAAATAGAAATGGCAAATAAATATGTGAAAAATGTTCAACCTCATCGATCATTTGAGAGATGTAAATTAAAAACAACACTGAGATTCTATCTCACCTCAGAAAGAATGGGTATCATCAATAAATCACCCAACAACAAAATGCTGGTGGAGCTGTGGGAAAAACGAACCTTCTCCACTGTTGATGGAAATGTAAACTAGTACAACCACTGTGGCAATCAGTATGGAGATGCCTCAAAAGCTAGGATTGGAGGTCTCATTTGATCCAGCTATTCCCCTTCTGGGCAGTTTCCCAGAAGAACTGAAAACATACCGCAGTAATATATGTGCACCCATTTTTATAACAGCACAATTTGTAATAGCCAGATCTTGGAAACAACCCAAATGCTCATCAACTGTGGAATGGATAAAAAAGATGTGTATTTTTATACACTGGAGTATTAGTCAGCTATAAACAAGGATAAACGAAGTTTTTATAGGTAAATTGATGCAACTTGAAAACATACTCATAAGTGAACAAATCAGTCTCACATGTGTAAACATATTTTGTGTAAAAAAAAAGTGAAAGAGTAAATAAAATACAAAATGTACAACAGATATTGTAAAAGTGAAAGGGATGAAACTGCTCAAAAGAAAAAACAACTGGGATAGGGGAAAGGAGCAAAGGAAAAGATTTTACATATATATATGTATATTATATATATGCACACATACACACACAAAATAGATAATTATGCTACTAATCTCTGTAAGTTCATAAAAAAGAATGTTTTGTGCTTTCACTGTTTATCATTTTTTCATGCCTCTGTCTTGTAATCTGAGCAAAGACAATTTTTTTGTACTGGGAATCAAACTCAGGAATGTGCTTGTCAGGTCAGGCACTTAACACTGCTGAGCTATATCCTCAAGCCACAAGCAAGGGCTCTGAGGATAACATTGCACAATACATTAACCATTGTTAATCTATTATTTTGTTTTGAAATGCTGTCATCATTTTTATTCTTTTTTCACCAAAAAAGGATGAATATGGCAGAAAATATAGGTCTTGCATTGTCATTTTAGTGAGTATGTATAATAGTCTAATAGTATGTTAAGAAATTTTCTATTGCTGGACAATATTTAGGATGATTCCAGCATTCCTCTACCTTGAGCATGATTTCTTTGTACATTTCTGGTATATATATTTGCATTGTTTCACAATTACTTTCTTGACATAAATTTCCAGACCTGCAGCTTCTAGACCAAGCATTTCCAGAGTTCTTGCTCTGTGCTTTACAGTTTTAAGCACTGTACACTACTAACTAGTTTATTCCTCCCCCCAAGTCACTGTGTATAGCATATTATTCCTCCTGTCTGAGACATGAATAAAGATAAGCACAGAAAGGTTAACCAGCTAGTAAGGGTGAAAAAGAGTATCTGACTCCCTGGGTTGAGGCAGGATCTCACCTTGCCTAAAAAGGGAATAAACTGTATTCTGCAGCCTGGCCTTCTACTCTAATTCAGATTTTTATTTCTAAAAACTCCTCTCAGTATTCCAAGAAACTTATGCTCATAAAGATTAATTTTTCTGCCTAGAAAATGTATTATCTTATCTCTATACTTGATTTCATGTTATCCATTCTATTGAAAAACTTTTCTAAATTTTATCCATCTTTCAAGACTGACTTTAAATGCCAGTCTCTCAATAAAGTCTGTATCAGAAGATTATATCATAGTTGTCAGCATTATTGTTGCTGTGAATATAATCTTATTACATATGTAAAGTTATTAAAAATTCATACAAGTACTTGCTGCATGCCAAGCATGACATGAATGCTACATACAGAAAAAAAATAAGCAAGTGTCAATCCTTGAAGATTTTGTCTTTTCGTCAAACTAATGTTTCCAGTGTTACTTTGGAGGTATGCAACTAGACCATAAATTCTTCCTGGGATAATCCTGCTATCATTCCCCCACTGCTCCCATGCCAGGGTCTTGGACAATATTATGTAAACATTAGGGCTTAGTGGTCAGTACTAAGATGGTACTGGCAGAATTAAATAAACATAAATTATCACATTTTTCCTTTCTAAATACACTAAGGAATTCTAATAAAAGCGTCTCTCTCTCTTCTCCATTTTATAGCAATTCTAACACTATTGCAAGTCCATGCTGATTTTCTCAGAATTCTGCTCTACCTTTTATATTAAAGGTGTTTCCCCACATTTACCTTTATTTTGAAATAAGAGAAAAATACATAAATTGATCAAATGCCATCTTTAGTATTAACATAATGTATGCTATAGCAGTATCATTAAGCTAAGAATTCCTCACTGTTAAAGGTAAAAGTTGCTGTTTATAATTGTGAAAATAAAAAAAGCAGCTGACTATATTTTACCCTTAGAGCTGTTCACATTTGAAACCAGGTAATTCCTTCTGTGGGCTTTTTTTTCCAGTGAGCTCTAGGATGCTTATTAGCATCTCTGATTTTCACCCATTAGATAACAGAAGCAACATCAAAAACATCTCCAGATACTACCAGATAGTCCTAGAGGGCAAAATTGCCTAGTTAAGATCTCTGATGCATTTTATAAAGACAAATTCATTCATTATTTATTCTGTGAGTACTTATTCTGTAATAATAGCTTATACTTACATTCGGAGATCCATAATTCTCAAAGTACTGTCTTTGGTATGGATTAACAAACGTTTTCCATTAGGATGGACCTCCAAATAACTTACTGGAATCCCCTTAAATTCAGTTTCTTTAATTTCCTAAAATGGTAAGAAAAATCACAAAATACTAATACTGAAAAGTTTATCTAATGTTACAAATTTTTTAGTGTACAAAATTAATTTTCAAATCTCATTTTCAATTCCACTATACAACATGCTTTAAAATTACTAGAAAAAGAATTTCCAGAAACTTGTTTAAGGCTGATAAATTGCATTTTTTAATTATGTAATGCTACATGTAATTAGTATATATTTCGTATATTATTTACCTTTTCCAAAGTATAGTCAGGCCCTGTAAACACTATACTTCTGTGAATATCATATAAAAAAGCTTTCAGTCTTTATAAACTTAAAACTAAGTGTTAATTTTTAAGTTTTATCCAGTTTCAGACTCTTTTCATATCTTTCATTTGTTTTAAGTATGGTATATTACTCTTATTTTGAAATAATTTAAATTATAATTTGGGTGAGTTTTTTCTTTCATTTGGTTGGTTCTTTGAGACCGCTACAGAAGATACCCAACTAATGTCAGGAAAGACAAACACTGAGGAAGAACCTCCATGCAACAGCCATACGTAAGAGGAATTACCTTTATACCTTACACCACACAGTAAAGTAAACTCTTAATGGATAAAAGAGCTAAGTACAAGGTAAAAAACTACAAAACTACCAAAAGAGAACACAAGGGAAAAGCTTCTGAATACTGGCTTTGGCAAGTTTTAATTTTTTTTTTTTTTTAAGACAATATCTCCCTGTGTGGTTCAGCCTGGTCTTGAACTCATAGCAACCTCCCTGCCTAAACCCTGCAACTGCTGAGATTACAGGTGCACACCACCACACCCCACTTACCTCAGCAATGAAATCATCACCTTGTAAAGGTATCTGCACTCCTATGCTCACCAGAGTGTTATTCACAATAGCAAAGATATGCAAACAACTTAAATGTTCAGCAACAGATAAATAGATTCTCTCTCCTTCTCTCTCTCTCTCTCTCTCTCTCTCTCTCTCTCTCTCTCTCTCTCTCACACACACACACACACACACACAGAGGCACAAAGTATTATTCAGTCCTTACAAAGATTTAAGACCTTGCCATTTGCCATAATGTAGGTAAACCTGAAGGACATTACACTAAGTCAACGAAAAATACTGCAAAATATTACGTGATCTTATTTACATGTTGAATCTAAAAATATGTAAAAAATTCAAATGTACAGAGAGACTACGAGGGCTGGTGAGTAGGGGAGTACAGGAAAATGGGGAGATGTCGGATGGGTATATATGAGCTAATATGAGGTATTCCTTGTATCCACAGCTCAGCCCTGCTATTGCTGACTGATTTTTCTTTTTTAAAGTCACAGAAAATAGTGAAATACTGACACAAACAGATGGGGATTTCAGTGGCTAAATTATAACAAATCTGAGGTGGAGTGGCATGGTGAGGATTTGATCAACTGTAATACATGCAAACATGCAAAATCCAAAACAAAACTGCAGAACAAGTGTGAGGTTTAAAGTTGAGAAAGTTGCTGGCAAATTTAGTATTTGTATTATCTGGTTATTTCATCATATTTTTCTTTAGCACATTATGTTAAAACTAAAAAAACTTTTTTTGGAAGATAATGTATGGCTGCTTAAAGAGTATGAACAGCAGCACATAGGCACTTAATCCTTAAGGGACCGATGAATATAACTTAGCATTCCCCACACAGCTGACTACACACAGCCTTCAAACCGTCGCAAAGCACTTGCTGCTAAAGACATTCCAGCTCATTTCCTAAATATTTATTTTTGACTGTCTGAAGTAATGACTAAGCTATGTATTTTCAAGATAAATTGTATTTTACTACATAAAAGAAAAAGCACATATTTTATAATAAATGATAAATTCTACACTGTACACTCAAAATATTGTCAGTCCCTCTGATATGCAAGTAATTAGAAGGTTCTTCTCAAGTGTGTGAAATTAGGCTACATGATGAATCTCAAGATATCATTAATTTGATAGATCAGAGCAGAATAACAAAAAACAGAAAAGAGTTTTTAATATAAATGTCATAAACACAAAGATTTAACTGAAGTTTATGGAAATTTTTTGCTTAGGATATCTTTTTTTTCTCGAAAGGAGGTCAGCTTTGTCATAAGCTAGTATGAAAAGCTCAAAAACAAGTATGTAACGTGCTAGGCAGAAATTACATCAATTATAAAACAAATTCAAATTTGATGATTCTTTTATATTTTTAACTAAAAAATAAAAATTATACACCAATAAAATTGCTTTCTGGGACCTTTGCCATAATTACATAATGATGAAAGGCAGCAATGCTGATCAGCTCTGAGCATGCTATTTTTAAAAATGTTACTAAAGCAAGAAAAGAAGGATATAATAAAAAATGCAAGTTGTTACTTACAGATGGTAATGTAACATTACACATACCTCACTTTTTTTTTAAAGAAAATAAAACAAAACAAAACAGAACAAACAAACAATGCAAGCAACACAGGACTCCAGCTAATGCCATAGTGCAAACTGCAGCTCAAAAGGCTGAAATGGGCTAAGGCGAGTGTACCTCAGTAGCACAGCACTTGCCAGGCACGTTGCAAGATCCTGGTTTGATTTCCAATACATGCACACACATGTGTACAGTTCCACATACAAACAACAAAAAAACAGTATGTATACATTTTTAAAGGATTGAAAGAGAACTAGCCAAAATGAAAATCTTCACTACATTATAAATCAGGCAGAACAGAATAGTTGATTAAAGGTAACTAAGTTTTTAGGAACTGACAAAATATAGATGGAATATTCTTACTTCCTATCTCAAAGTCATGTGGTTGAATATTTTTCTAGTTTCCTTAACTAAATTCCAAACTATAAAATGTGATTCCATACCTTATTTATAGTCCAGTGGTGTACTGAGTTCTGCAAATCACCAATGCTGACATAAGTATCCCACACAATAATTATTCCTGTGCAATCTCCTGAATACATGTGATGACCTATTTAAAAAAGTAAAACCCAATAATACAGTCAAACAAATGAAGGGCTATAAAAGTTAATTCAAAATCCAAAAAAACAAGATTAACTCACATTTTAATTCCAATCTTTACATGAGTACTTCCCTCTTTCAAATTATTTTGATGATGTATTTCCTTTTGTCATTTGCTTGACTTTTTTTTTGCACTGGGGATCGAACTCATTACCTTGCACTTGCCAGGTAGGTGCTTACACCATTGAGCTAAATCCCCAGCCCACTTGCTTGAATTTAAATACAAAAAAGAAATGATGTATGTATGTATGTAAGGCTCAATGTATGTATATAAGGCTCATTTCAAAGTCAAAGTAATTGAATTATTCAACATGTATATGTAATCGTCGTCTTTACTATTGATATAGTCTGTCTTATCTTGTATTCCTAGAAAATACCTATATTCTAATACACACTGTTAACATAATACTTGAGAACCAAGAAACCTCACTGAATGATAGGAATGAATAAAATAATAAGTAGCAAGTATTAACAGTTTAACATCAAGTCTTTTGAATTAAACTGTCTTAAAGTTGAATGGCACCTTGGAGACCATCAAGTTCAGTTTCATAGCCATTTAGGAATATCTTATTCAGTATTACTGACAGATGGTTGCTTGTTGACTGTGAATTTAGTATTTTCCACACAGCTTATTTAACTGGTTAATCACTCCATGTGTTAGAATGTTGCTTCTAATTCGGATCAAAGAAAAATCTGTTTTTTGCAACTCTGGCTTCATCTCTCCCTATCTACTGGGGCAACATAAATCAATTTCCTTTTTTTTTTTCATATCTATGGACAACTATTTAAAAATTATTTTTCTTTTATAATGTGAGCTAATTTTATTATGAGTTTTCAGATACCTTTTCATCCAGGGCCTTTCTAAATTTATTAACATCCTTACAGTTGAACTGAGTATATCAGAAATACTATCATTTTGATCTGGATCCTATTTTAATTAGTTATAGCTATAACCTAAAACACCTAGTTTCTAAAATTTAAAAAGTGATTAACAGATACAAGAAACTTTTTATTCTTTCAGCCAATGAAACAATCATTATTTTACATCTTTAAAATATTCACATTATTTATATACTAAGAGAATCTTTTAAATAATTGAAACTTTGCTCTCTATATGTTTGTGTACTTTTTAAAAAATTTGGGTCAGGGATATAGCTCAAGAGCATAGCAACTGCCTGGCAAACATAAGGTTGAGAGTTTGATTCCTGGTACCAAACAGAAAAAAAATTCTGTCATTACATTTAACATATGTATCTGCAACATTCTTTGGAAATTTTTTGTTCCCCTCTGTCTACTCATCAATTTAAAAAATCCTTAAAAATAACTTCGTAAGGCCAGGGATATAGCTCATCAGCACAAGTGCCTGCCCAGCAAGCACAAGGTTCTGAATTCAATTCCCTGTACCAAAGAAACCCCAAACCTTATTAAGAAGATAATTAGCAATCTAAATGAATATATTTATAAAATTTGATACATGATGTTAGAGCAAAAATAGCAGAATTTATTTTTATTTATTTATTTATTTTTGTCTTTTTCGTTTTATTGGTACCAGGGATTGAACTCAAGACTGTACACTAATAGCAGAATTTAAATGTTGAGGAATTAAATAACTTTAAAATTATAAACAAGTGACTTCAGTGACCTCATGTGACCTGTGAAATAAGAATAAACCATTAAATTACTTTAAAAATATAAACAAGTGACTTCAGTGACCTCATGTGACCTGTGAAATAAGAATAAACCAAAATATATCCAATCAACAATTTTATAACATCCTTAAGATTTTGTAATTACTAGTGAAATTTAAAAAATGAATTCTTTATGCAATAAGCCTTCCTTTGGAACACAGTCTAACATACCTTCAGCATCAAAACAGAGAGAATTGACAAAACTCTTGTGAGCATCCAATTGTTGGACCAGTACAGCAGAACTTTCTCTCACATCAACTTTCCATATTCGTATCACAGAATCATAGCATCCTGTAACCACCAGCTCTCTTACAGCTGGATGGAATTTAGCCGTGTAAACAAAAGCAGGATGAGGCAAAACTCTCAAAGTATTTGTATTATTTATTTCATTTTTCCATATCCTGGAAAAGGATAAAAAAATTACATATTCTGAAAGGCAGAAATGCAATCATTTTTATCAGAACTAACTTACCCAAAACATGCAACTACCAATGGTAAACTAATATTTATAACAATAAAATTACAATGATGATCATATATTTGATGGCTAGACTTCTTCACCTTTTGTCAAAGCCATGTTCTATTAATAACATGTTATCTATTAATTGTATTGTACTCCATAAAACTAAAAATTGTACTTGTATTTAGACATATCTCATTCTTAGATCACATATGTATATATATGAGGAAAAAAGTAAGTATTCCATTTAGGTTGTATAAATTGCTTTTGCAAAATGCTTTACTAGTAGGAGTTTAGAGAACAGGATACTTCATTAACTTTTGTATTTGTAACTTTAAAGCCCATATAACAAACATGAAGATCTCAAAGACTTAAAAGTCATATTGAAATCACTCTGAAATCTTGAGTAAAATAAGATTAAAATAATATTTTGATAGAAAACACACTGTTCTAAATTAAGCATTTCCTTTCTATCTAACATTTTCATTGTAACTCCTCTAAAACGGTTGATCTATAAAAACACTTTTAAGATTTTTACTGCTCTAGTCTAGACCAGAGAGTAACCTCCAAGAGTTAAAATATCGTTAGATATTTCAAATTTCAAGAAATGCACAAAAATAGTCAAAATCTAGCAATGCACAGGTGCTATATGAATATGAAGCAGTGTTTTAAATTATTAGAATTAGAGGAATATATTATTTTATTACGAGGATTTATGGTTTATCTTTTTAATTACTAAGAAAGCAAATTAAATCATTTACAAAATTATAAATAAAGGAAAATGTACAGTTGGCTATTCAAGAATAACATTCTAAGAGTTTTCTCAGCAGCTGCTTAAAATAGAGGATACAGTCTTCAATTCAGTACCAAGAATCCAAACTGATAATGAAGGAAGTGAAAGAACATGTTTTCAAGTGAAAATAAAGCATGTGTGTCCCTGCATAAACATTTTTACCATAGTAAGATTTTCAATGAACACATGCTACATGAAGTAGGATGTTTACTAACAAAATCACTAATTTGAAGGGAGTATTACAATTAAAAGACAAAGACTTCAGTAGAAATAAGGTAAATATATCTTCAAATAGTTCAACAGATTAAAATACATTAATTTTTTAAAATAAAAATGAAGATTTTTGTGTAAAAACTATTACCAATAATGGCTTTTGTTATCCATGTAATGGCAGAGTGAAAGACAGAAAGAAATGACAGATTTGGAGGGAAATCAGGCCCCTCAGGAGAAAGAGAAAACACAAATTCATAAAGACTGGATGAATACATATGAAAATTATTAGATTTCAGGAGAAAATATCAAAGTTAAAACCGCATGTATCAGAATAGGTGTTATGGGGACATGGGTCTCCAAGAGAGCCATCACTCATGGAAAGTCTTTTATAATGCATTAAAAGATGCATATTTGAGAAAAACACAGCTTATTCTGGAAATAACTAAGAGAATTTAGGCTACTTCCACATGGCAAAGAGTTAGTCAGTGGGGAAATTAATGCTTAGAGACACTAACAAAAACATGTGGCAGTGATTCCCAGGAAAACACCAGGAGTAGACCATGGCAGAAACCCACAATTCGTCACTTGTGAGCAAGAGTAATGCTAACTTTTTTGCTTTTGAGTTGAGCGTTATTCATTACAAGCATTCTTAATCTCTTTCAAAAACTTTGTCTTCTAATTTAATGTTTCTTTTTTCATTCAGTTAACACTTTCACAAATACTTTATGATAGAGAATCCAAATTAATACCAATTTTGAAGTATATAAAAACATACTTTGTTTTAATATACCAAATGATATTTGAGGAAATCAAAGATAGCGCTAAGAAATGGTGAAATCTGAGCCAAATTTACATGATGACTATATGCAGCTCACAAAAGGCACTTAATAAATTTCTGTGAGTTAGGCAGGAATAAGAGGGCTGTTTAAATGTAGGAATAAGCAAGGCAGAAGAGCACTAAGATGCCAAAGGTAAGATGTTAAGAGTTTTTCCAAACATTGTGAAGGTCAAGCAAAGAGTACACAGCAAGTGTAGATGAGAAGAATGTAAGGTTACTCAATGAGGGATATGTTTATTGTGCCACACTAAGCTAGTGGAGTACTTTCCAATGAGCAATGGGTATGGAAAGCTTTTAATAGACAAAGCATTATGAAAGAAGGTTTTGGGAAGGTAATTTTACCACAGTTGAGATAAAGATGACCACAAGTACACACAGGAAACTAGAGGGAAATATGGGAAGCTCATGTCTGTCTAAATTCAACTGTAAACTAAAGGAAGTCATCCAATAAAAGTTGGAAGACTGATTTAGTGTAGAGACACTGAAGAATGGTGACTTTTGTGTCTGCTGCCTGATGAATGAGAAAAAGGATCTGAATAAAGGTAAGTAAAAACATTCTTCAGCAGGGATGAGAGTGCAAGTGACTCCAAGACTTGTGAATCCACAATTACATCTCAGTAAAGCTATACATTATTTTCTGGTATTACCTGGTATCAGACAGGAGGGGTGTACTAAAAGACATAACCAGGTAAGCGCCTGAGGATACAGTTAAAGGGGACTAATAGTAGTTTCCTGGTCCAACAGAGAGGAAAATCAATTGTTACCTTTGGCATTTAAATATAAACTACACAATGATAATATCTTGATCAATTAGACATCTTACATAGAAAAGGAGATTGATTAGATTAATAGAAAAATGGACCTAGACACAAAAGGTCACATTACATCTTAAAAGCACAGTATGCAGCAAGTGTTGGTGTAGATCTCAAAAGGCTCTAACATATCACAAAAATTACAGAAAGCATCTGCTGGAATCAAATTATGGTCTATATAAAAAACACTTTGAAAATTGTCTCACAGTATTTTTAGAACACAAGCAAAGTCAAACAAGAAGCTAAAACAAAGTATAAGTAAACTTTAGGAATTAGCTTTTAAAATGTTTTATAGTGACACTTAAATTTAAAAGCGTAATTTAAGACTGACATTGTGAGAATGTAAATATTTAACAAAACACTCTTGTAACATATGATACCTATTTACTTCCTCTACATTAATCTAATAGCTTATACCAGGTTCCAACCCCCACATCTAGCCAAAAGTGAAGACAGGATCTCTGTTATCAAGAGTTTAAATTCTAGGAAAAATCTCAAGTGTTTAATAAGCTCATCGCAATATGCTAACTAAACAATTTAAAAAATGATCTTTTAAAGATGGCAAGGATCAGAAATACTATATATTAATATGAAACACTTGAGAAAAAATGTCTTTGAGAAAAAAAGTTTCAGTATTTAGTCTACATATTTATGTCGATCGTTTCATAGATAAAATATAACTGAAGCATAAGGATATTTTTATCACTTCATATTTTCTCAGTTTTCTTTGATGGCAAAGAAACTATGCACAAAAGGTACCCTACTGTAAAGTATACTAACCTGGCAGTGCAATCAGATGATGAAGTAAGGATATAGCGATCATCTTTTGACCAGGAAAGGTCATAGATGATATTGAGATGGCCACACAATTCTCTCATGAAACGTCCAGAAGGAATTTCATACACTAATAAAAATATTTAGAAATCAATAGGTTTCTAGAGAGGATATTTAATCTAAATAATATATAAATACATAATTTATAATAACAGACATAAATTAAGTAATATGAAAATTAAAACCTAAGGTATTTCCAGTATAAACAAAATTCCAAAATCTATTTAAGTACAGGTTTTCATTTGCTTAGTAATAAGAATTTACACACAAAATTTTATAATATCCTAAAATTTCATAATATGCTATCAATTGTTATTTCTTCAAACACTCATGAATCTTTGATAATAAATTTATTAGTCAAATAAGTAGCATTTATTTTATAATTCACCCCAAATACTCTATACTTGGTGTTTCATGAATAAAGTATTATTTTACTTGAAAGTCAACTAAATGCCAACCAAAATTGTAATTATTTTAAGTCATGAGAAACTTAAACTTAGCTACTGTTGTAAAAAAGTTTCAATACAAACTGAGAGAGTAAGGTAATTAACAGCAACTCAATCTGACAAAGTACAAAATCTGTAACACAGAAACAAAGTCTGCAAGTCTCTACCTCCCTCTAGTGGTAAAACCAAGTACCCATTAACCGCAACTCTAAGGCGTTAAGAAGTATTGAATAGCAAACTATGGACCCTGGAAAACCTGCTTCCTCCTGAAAGCACCAAGAACAGTGGCAAAAATTCTCAAAACAATGTTTCAGAGTTCTCAAAATTAAGCACAACTTGTACGAATCTGAGGAATATTTATTCAAGAAAAATGAGTAAATTTTAGTAAAAACATTGAGGTTTTCGGTATTTTTTAACTTAGTCCATTTTCCTCTCTTGAACTCTACAATAATCTTAAAAATAAAAATAGGTAAAGATTAGGAGTCTAACAGTTACTGGATTTTGTAGAAAAGACCTACAGATCTCTAAAGTTCCATCCCCAAAGACCACTATTAGACAGTCCAGCAGCTCACCAAATGCTCCATACTGAGCGCCTGCCTTTACCTAAGCTGGCTCAATCACACCCTCCACAGCAGCCATAGCTCTAGAGTGCACACTGAAACAATGAGCGGCATCAGGTAACACTACAGCTGCCTCAGGTGGTAACAGCACTTGGGGCTAAGAAAGAGGTTCATTAAACAATTTAAAATGAAAAACCTGGGAACAAGATGGCCACATGGAACCTTGAAAAGCTCTCAAATACTGTATATCTAAGAATCTCAAAGGATTCCTACGCATGTATATAAAAGAAAAGTCTGTGTAGTCAAGCAAAATCTAAGAAGCTTTATCTCTCACTCCAGCTGACTTGAGGAGACCCTGAACAAACTGGAGGTGAAGGCAGAGTTTTGAATTGCCTGAAAAAACTGACAGGATGGCTCAACACACACATACCCACACAGCCTCCTGGAAAAGAACACCAGACCTATGCACTCAAAAGTATTTAACAAAAATCTCTGCCTGTATCATCAGCTGATGCTGAGTAGAAACTACATTGACAACGACATGATAAAGAATGAAGACTTCACGGAATGAGCCCAAAAAAGTCAAAAGAAACAGCCACAATAACTAATCCTGGGTGGATGAGAGGCGCCAAAAGAGAAAAACCTGATTTCCAGAGCTGCTTTGCAGGACTACTTAAAATATCCAGTTTTCAACATAAAATTATGAGATATGAAAACAAAACAAAACAAAACAAAAAAGTGAATGAAAATTTTCCATATAGAAATTGAAGCGCAAGAATTTGTCTTTTTCAAAAAACAAAATCTTTAAGCAAAAAATTAACATTCAGTATTAAATGTTCAGTATTATGAACATGTTCAAGGATTTAAGATTACATCTGAAGAATTAAATTTTAAGAATTATTTCTCATCAAAAGCAGAACCAGTAAAGAAAAAAATGATCATAAAAGTATTTTAGGCTTAAAAAGCACAATCACTGAAATAATTCACAAGAAGGGCTCAAAAGATATAAGCAGGCAAAATAATTACTGGACTTGATGATAGATCACTTGAACCTATCCAATCTAAAGAACAAAAAGAAAAAGAATAAAGAAAAATAAGTATGCCTCAGAGACCTGTGGGACACCATTAAGTCTATGAACACAGGCATAATGGGGTTCCCAAAAGAATAAATGAAAAAGACAAAAAAAAAATTTTAAAAAGAATAAAGAGAAAGAGGCAAAGAAAATATGAAGAAATACTGACTGGATAATCACCAAATTGGTGAAAAATATTAACCTAAACATTAACAAACTAAACAAATTCTAAGTTTAGACAGAACATAAACCAAAAATAAATATTCCATTTTCTGGCTTTTGAGATTTAAGCAATACATACATCTAAACAATAGCATCCTGAACAATTAAAGTATAATGTAGTTACTTTATCACAGAAATTTAAAACATGTAAATCAGAATGAAAATAATTCTTTCATTAACCAAAAGAAATAAATCAGTAGCATTAGAATTTTGGGGCATGTTTCCCAAAAATCTTCTCCCTCTACACATAGATTTTTGGTGAATTTTAAATCAGCATAGTGATTAATCAAGTTACACAAATAATTTTATAAATAAAAATCTGTTATTATTTTATGGGGAGGAATATTAAATTATAAGTTCCAGTCAACTCAATTGGAATCCCTGCTGAAAAAAAAATTAACTGCTATCCAGTGTGATCAAAACACACAGTGAATATCTAAATTTTAAAAATTACAGCGAAAGACACATTGCCATTAATCTGAACACACATTAATTTGAATAGTTATCTCACTGTTCTTGCGGCTCTTGAAGCAGTTCCAGAAGTCCTCTTCTGTGAGTGTCTTAATGAGGCATGATAAAAAATACAGTGAATGCTGCTGCTGAGTGCCCTCCAACATAAAGGCAGACTCATAAAAATGCAATGGGGTTTCCTCCTCCACGTTATTCATTGGATCTGACACTATTGACATATGGCTCTTCCCGAAGTCAAAATGATCATGAAAGGGTAAATATTTTGAATCAACTCAGGACATCAAGATAGCAATAATGCAACTAAACAATAATGCAACTAAAAACACTGACAGAAAGGCATTTACAGAGCTGCTTCAGAAAATGGGAAGGATGATGAGCTAAGTGTGTTTGAAGCAGGGTGGGGGAATATCTTGAGATGGATTCAAGTCAATATGATTTTCATTGTAATAAATGTTAAAATTTAAACATTCACTGTACTTTTCAACAACACCTTGTATGTGAAGCTGAGTATGTAAAGTTTATCATAATCCAGTGCTTAAGACAGACAGCCATCAGAAGATGGCTTCTTCCCACTGAAGAGAGCTGGCTTTCATTACTGAGCCAAAAATAAGGGACTAAATTTAATGCTTCTCAAACAGCATGATAATGCTTGCTAAAAAAAAAAAAAAAAAAACAAAAACAAAAACAAAAAAACCCCAAACACTCTAAAGCTACTGAAATAATTTTTCTTGGCCTTTTTCTTGCGAATCTTAATGAGAAGTCTTCCTCTGGGTACTTCAGAGGCAATCTCTAGTGTTCTACTACACAAAAAATTTGTGAGCTTTCATAATTCAAATTATCACTGCTGTCATCTAACTGTATTGGGAAAAATTCTTCATGAGATTAATCCTTCATGTTTCTAAATTTCTATATTTAAAATAGAAAATGTTAACAAAAATGTTTCTTGCATGTTTAAAAAATTAGTATCTTTCATTTAATATTTTCACTTTATTTCTTAATAGAATATAAAAGAACTGCTTCTTTACATAAAAAATTTGTATTCTTTAATTTACTAGTTTTGAGGATTACTCAAGATTTCAATGAATTTTTAAAGCCAAACAATGTCCATCACATAGACTATACAGTCGGATTATGTCTCACATATAATTGGATATCCATCCCGGCTGGTACAGGCTGCTGCTAATATTCGTCCATTGTGGGAGAAATCAAGACAAAAACATCCTCGTTCTCCTGCATTTAGTGAGAAGAGGTGCTTGTTTGGGATACGACAAGCCTAAAAAACATGTATTTTAAAAATATAAATTAAGAGACATTAAAATACAAAGGCTAGTAGCTAATCTCAATTACTACAGTAGGTTTTAAAAATACTATATTACTTTCTAAACATAATTACTTCTCCATAAGATTAACCAAATCTGTTGTTTCTAACTAACTTCATCTAAAATATGAACAGAAAAAACTCAGAATTTGATGCTTTGAATCTGTCGCTGCCACACTGCTTCTACATAGCCACAAAAAAAGTCATGTTCTTCTTTCATGACAACTAGTAAGCCACTTTTGCTTAGATGACTTGTTTTAAAACTATAAATACCCTACATGTCTTAGCCTAAGCCAATTACGTGTGAATGTTCAGCTCCCTTTTCTTTCTTAAAATAACCATCTTTTATGACTCTTTCCAAAATACACAAGTAGTCTCCCCTTTTTTCTGTGGTTTTGCTCTCCACGGCTTCAGATTACTATGGGCAAGTAAGGACAGAAAATATTAAGTGAAAGAAGATTCAAGAAATAAACAATTTTATAAAGCTAATGGCTTTAAAATTTCTATCATTCTAAGCAGTGTGATGAAATTGCGCCACCATATGTGCAAAACTGGAATTAACTCTCTTCATTCAGCATATTGCCACTGCACATGATACCCACTTGTTAATCACTGAATAGCTGCTTTGCCTGTGAGATCAGCTATCATGGCATCTCAGCATTTGTGTTTGTGTTAATGGTTCCAAAGAACAAGAGTAGTGAAGCTGGCAATTCACACAGGACAAAAAGAACTGTTAACTGCTTCCTTTAGTAAAGTTTCACACATAAGAAATAAAGTAAAAGTTCATACATAAGAAAAAAATCATATGCTGAGGTTGCTAAGATCCATAGTAAGAATAAATCTGTAACTGTAAAAGAGGAAAAACATTTACATTAATTTTGCTGTCAAAATTAAACTCCAAGTTATGGACTGAGTGAATGATTAATGCTTAACATGAAAAAGACACAAATTTGTGGGCAGAAAACATGAACAAAAAAGATATTCCAATTGGGGCTGGGTTTTTAACTCAGCAGCATAAGCACCTGCCTGGCAAGTGCAAGGTCATGAGTTCGATTCCCAGTACAAAAGAAAAAAAAAAGATCCAATTGACATGTTGCATCAGAAAAGCAGAGTCTACATACAGGTTTTATTTAGTAAGGGATCCCCTAAAAATGAATGACACAAGACCATTTACTACAAATAAAAAATGGTTACAAAGATTCTAATTTAAACACGAAACTTTTATCAGTTATGTTTGTATAGGAAGAAAAATAGTCTCTGAAGAGTTTAGTACTATCTGTGGTTTTAGGCATCCACTAGAGGTTTAGGAATGTATCTTTTGTGGATAAGATTACTGCATATTCCAAATAATCACTCCTTATTTGCTTCTCATAACTGCATTAATATTTCTTAATAATTTCTATGTTTTCATTACCTATAATCAGATAAAACTAAAATTTTCTGTGTGGTAATGTCAACTGTTGAAAATACTACTTTTATTTTTCCTAATTCTACTTTTTCTTATCTTCAGTGGGTCTTAGTTCCTATATCTGATATTTAAAAAGTTGAGTTAATCATATATTAGGCCCTTACTATATGTCATGAGTACTATACCTTATTATAGATGGTTCTGAATATACTCATTATTATTATTCTTTGAGTAAATATCATTAACTAGAATAACCATTATTAGCTACAAATAGCTAAGGATTATTTCAACAGTCAAGCGCAGCTCCAAGGGCTTTGTCAAAGACTGTTAGGCTTAACTTCTAGACATGTATCAAGTTTTTGCTAAGCAGCATTAAGATTTGGCAGCTCAGGAAGCAACATTATGACCTACTAGGCATGTGAAAAATTCCACAGACAGCTGTTATGTGTCAATAATGTACCAGTCACTATGATGACCGTTTCTTTCTTCCATCCTCTGACCAGATAATTAGAAGAGAGAGGAGGTAAAAAGACAAAAACTGAGGGAGGCTTTCTAACTGCTTGTGCTACTCCTAAAGTGTAGCTGAGGTAATCAACCAGGCTACAATCACTGAAGCTACTTTCCTGTTACTAGTATTCCCAGTTTGACATTGTGTCCTTACCCAGAATAAGCATTCAGTGAAAATCAGAAGACAATGAAGATCTTCAACAGCTCTAGTACCACCCCACCTCTTGCTCTTTACTGCAATCACTGAACCATGCAGGTTCTTACTTTCTAACTCTTATATTCATCTCTTTTTCTTTCAGTTTTAAGTTTAGACCCTCATCACCTCACATATCAGAATCAAATGCCATCTGTGTTACTCTAATTCTAATGTATCTTGCTTCAGAATCCACCACATGCCAATCCCAGCATTAATTTATATTAAAACAAGATTGTTATCAATGTGTCTCTTACCATCAAACCTATTATCATTTCTCACATTCCACAGAATCAAGTATTAAACTACTATTCAGCATACTCCGTAATGTGAACTTAATCTGTCCTACTAGTAATATCTCATGCAAATTGTCTCATCCTAGCCAAGTGTTGGAGGGCCTAATGAACACAAGTGCTTTTCACACATTTGCAACTTGGCCTCCATATGAAGTACCCTGCTTATTCCTAAGTTGGCCACATCAGTTCACTGCAAACTCTCCATTGGAGAGCTCTCTCAATGGAGAATTTACTTCTCCATTCTATTTCATCTTCTTCATTTTATAATTCGCAAACTTTTTTAGTTTTAGGCTACTATTTTTGAAGAGTTCTAAAAGTTTTTGTTTATGGGGCTATAGTAATTTATCATATTAGAAATTAAAATTGAGGGTCAAAGATTTAGCTCAGCAGCATAAGTGCCTACTTGGCAAGCGCAAGGTCATGAGTTCAATTCCTGGTACCAAAAAAAAAAAAAAAAAGTTAAATGTTTTGCTGGGGATTTAACTCAGTAGTGTGACTGCCTAGTAAGCACGAGGTTATGAGTTCAATCTCTGGTATCAAAAAAAAAAAAAAAAAAAGAGAGAGAGAACTACTAAATCATATAATTATATTTATAGCTATTTTTCCCCTCCAGACTTCACCTGGTGAACAGTCCAGTGACTGCTTTCTTTTTTCCCTAATGAGGAAGGTTCCCAAGGACGTCATCTAAATGTTGGTCTCTTCATAATACAAGCTGCATAGCTCTTATCCAAAATTCTTTGAACCAGAAGTATTTCATATTTTGGAGTTACTTTGATTTTTGGAATACTGGCTGAGCATTTTTAAATTGAAAATCCAAAATCCAAAATGCTCCACAACTTAAGAATTCTGGAATTTGGATTTTCAGATTAGGGATGCTCAACTTGTATTATGTTTGAAGTATATAGTGGTTTTAAAATGCATCTGTAAAATTGGTCTCATAAACAGACAAATGTTATGTAAAACAATGAAAATTAAGAGTTCTAGAGACATAATTGTTCTTCTTTTTATGTTACACAGCTAAATAAATTAAAATTTTGGATAAACTGTACTTGGTAATAGCACATTCTGATTGGAAACAAAAATTTCTAAAGTTGACTGTTAATGTTTTTCTACCATTGCTAATGTTTTCTTAGAAGGATAAGTAAGAAAAATTTAGTAAAAGCTTACATGTTTTTCAAATTAGAGTACAAGGACATGCACATATATTATTTCCATCAAGATGTGATGCAGGAAGAAACCAGAAGTTGTAAAAAATTTCATGAATTCATAAAGATTAGGAGACATAGCTCTCACAAACATAAAAAATCTGTAGTTTGTGACTATGTGTGAATCTATGATTTATAAGTTCATAAATATCTTAATGAATATAGTAGTGTTAAACATTTCACCTGTCCAGGTAGTCGTTTCCATTCTACAATTTCCTTCGAATCTTCTAATCCAGGCTCTGTGCCTATTGAATTTGACTCATGGTGAAGTTCATAATGTACTGGTTTACTTTTCTCTTCCTGAGTCATCACAGAGCAGTAAGATGGCTTTATCTAGATATAAATGGAAAATGAGAAAATCTGTATCATCTTTTTCTCTTGCTTAGTAGTGTTTTTAAAACTGCAACACAATACATTTTATCAAAGCATCATCAAAAAATTATCCATGATTCTAAATAAAATAAATGCAACTTGAATGTATAGTCCTATAATCAAAAATCCTTAAGAATTTGGACACTAGATCCCAATGGTTGCACAAAATGATTTTAATAACTCTGTCCCTTTGTTTCTGTTTCTTTACCCCAATACCTATCAGATGATATGTCACAGCTCTAAAATAATATATGCTTTCTGGCTTAAAAATTACAAAACAAATTCTGTAAATATCTGAAGTTTTAAAAATTCTCATTTCTTATTTAACGTAATTCCTACCAATGCAAACCAACCCTGTGGTGATAGTATATAATATTACCTGCAGAATGTGCAAGTGATCTGAAAGATTAATATAAGAAAAATGAGACAAAGCAAACATTTTTTTCAGTTTAGGACTAATTCTTTGTAAAAACAATTTATAATATTAATCTTCAAAAAACAGCTGTAGAAATACTACTTATTATTTGAATACTTCTCTTGTGAAATACATAAATCAGATGTCTGCAAACTATAACACACATACCTAATCTGGTCTATTGTCTGCTACTATGAATTGTTTATTTCTTTGTAGTACTGGTGAGTAAGTTCAGAGACTCTGGCCTTCACTCAGCCCTTCTGTTTGTCTTTTTAAATTTTGAGATAGTGTCTCATGAAGTTACTAAATTGTTCAGGCTTGTCTCAAAGTTGCAATGTTTTTGTTTCAGCCTCCCAGAAAGCTAGTATTACAAACACAAACCACCCCACTTGGCTTGTAAATAGTTTTGTGGTGACATATGATAGCCATTTGTTCAGTCAGTGTCCACATATATTTATACACTTTTACAATACAAATTTGAGTAGTTGTGGTAAGGAATAAACACATGGCTTGCAAAGTTTAAAATACTTGCTTTCTAAGAAAAATATTTTTCAACCTCAGTTTTAAGTTATCCTTTTATCTTCAATTTTTAAAAATCAAATTCTAACATTTTTGCTAATCTTGAAATATACATTTAAAGTATATTAAATATATATTTATTTAAACATACACTTAAAGTTTAAAGTATCTCTTTAGTTTCAACTATTATTGGCCTAATATACATTCTGCAGGTATTTTAATCAAAGAAAACTAAATAATACTACAGACTATCTTTTATAAAAATGGAGAAGACATTACATCATTTAATTTTAGTAATAGAGGATATACATTTATATGTGTTATTAACTTACACAGTCTGGTACTTTCAGTCCTCGTACAGTTACGTACAATGTTGATGGATAACGATTTCTTGGACATTTGGACCACCATTCGAAAACCTCAACAACATTTAACTGAGATCGAGGTTTGGTAGGTGGGTAGTACAGCTGCAAGCGAAGTTTTGAATTGACATTTGCATTTCTGTTGGCTCCCAGAAGCTTAAAACAGGAATTCATGCATAAAATATTAGTTTTATTGAACCTAAATGCATCCAACAAAGCAACAGTAAATAGAAATTTATTTTTGAAAACATTAACATGGCATTAACTCCTTAGATTTACAAAACGAAGGAAGACTGACATAGGCAATTTCAGATCCTTTTTGACAAAATGTAACCCTGATGATTTTTAAAATACTTTCCAACAGCTCTTTTTACCTGTTCAGAACACTTCAGACTGGTGCTGAAGCATTTACACTACTGTGCAAGATGTCATTTCGCATAAATGAAGTGATCAATATATATTTGTTTGAAATAATAATGATAATATTAAAATACAAGTTACTTAAACATAGAAACAAAATTTCCATTTGTTTACTGTCAGGATTTTAGTGGTTAAAATTTTATGTTTTAATTTTTTAAAAGTTAAGATGGATTTAATTAAACTAATTCAAATTGTTCATTATATTTTTTCAATAGTACATTTTACCTTCTTGAAAATGTCTATTAAAAATTACTAAACACAAACCCTCAAGCTATATAAATGCAGATTTTTGCAAGAAAAAAAGTTTCATCAACCCAGAATAGGTCCTCTTTCACCAGTCCATGATTATAAATAGGAAATACCTTTCTAACCTTTGTATCCTATACAAATTAAGGGTAGAGAGATGACTGAGAGCTTTTATAGCAGTTTAGGCTAGAGCATGAAGATAACTTAAATCAGAACAGTAAGTACTGAGGGAGGAGATACGATTAATAATACATATTACCAATTCAAGCAACTTGGAAGGCAAAAAAGGGTCAAAGAAAGACTCTAAGGCATTACCATTCACAGAACTTTCTACGATGGTGGGAATGCTTTACCATTGTGCCATCTAACATAGAATCCACTGGTCAGATGGAGCACTAAAGTATGGACAGTGCAACCACTGAATTGGACTTTTAATTCATCTGAATTCAATTAGTGACATGACTGTGGTTACCAAAATAAACAGCATAACTGCACAATCATAAACTTGGGAAATTGGAAAGACAGTCGTAGGACTACCAACTGAAAAAAGTAGCCTTAATGGTTGATAACACTGTTAACTTGAGAAATTTAGAAGTTTAATAAGCAATTCTGGAGGGGGCCTCACTTTTTAAACATCTTTATCCTGTGTAAGAGGAGATGGTGTGTGTGCCAGGTAGCCTTACAATAGAAAGGAGGAGAAGAGGCTTGTTCTCCTTTGCTCATGTTGCTTTTGTTGTCTTCCGCCACCTTGAACTGTTGCCTCCATGTCATGCCACTCTGCCTTGCAGCCAGCTGATCATGAACTGAAACCTCCACAAACTGTGAGCTAAATAAATCTATCCTTCCTTTATTTTGGGCATCTGGTACTGTCTTAATAAGATAGAAAAGTAACAATTCAGTAGTCAAGGGAAATAGAAGGTTAGGTAAGGTGTTTACTTCAGGGAAGTCTGAGATATCTAGAGCCATCTAAGTTGAACTGTGCAGTAACTAATTACATTTATAATTCTGAAGAACAGGTTAAAAAAAACTGGTTCCAAGAAAAACGTGATCTATCTATGAGTAGGACTGACATTACAGTAGCAGGTAAAAGATCATGAAGGAATGACATAAGGAAAGTCAGGAAAGAATGGTCAAGAAAGCCAAAGTAACAGAGTTTCAAGAGAGTGATATATAACAGTAATAGAACAATATGCAAATCTACAAAACAGAAATATTTGTAATTTGATTGGAAAAGCTTTATAGGTAGAAAGAAAATCCAGATTTGGTATAGGAATGATGCATAGATAAGCAAATAGAGGTTGCAAAATGTCTACTTACACTCTAGCAAAGGATGTAAAGAAAATAAGGGATGTAAGCACAGGGGGTGACACTGTGATGTGTCAAATGATACAGAGAGGTGAAAATCAATTTCAAATTGAGTAATAACACTCAATCATTAAGTATTAAGCACTACCTTACTATACTTTCATAAGCCTTCCTATTATCTGTACAAAACTTATCATAATAACTTTTAAGAAGCCAGTCCCAGCTTCCAAACACACTTTCCATTAGTTGTTTTACAATTCTCTGGGGAATCCAGTTTAGACTGCTATGCTGCTTAAACAACTGAACAAATAAGATCAAGTCAGGACCCTGATTATAGTCATAAATTATGTAATGTTGAGTTAAATAATGAGTCTTCATTACTTTAAGTTTAAAAGAACAGTCACACAGAGGTGCTATAAGAATCATAAAGAGCCTGAAACATGAATTGTAACTGAGAATTATGATGCAACCTTATAAACCACTATAACTTTACAATTATCCAAGACATCCTGCAACCAAGTATAGCTAGTAAAACATGTAGAGTTTAACTTGATTCATGCTACTTTCCTAAAATGAGTTTTTTAACCCTAGCCACTCCTTCAATAATTCCTCAGTAATTCCTTCAATGGATATTCTTCAAGCATTTTCTGTGTGTCATTAATATTCTGGGAGCTAGTGATGCTACGATATTTCAGGGCAGTGATGTATTAAATACAAAGACATCTAGTAAAATAAGAACTAAAAAACTCCAACAAACTTATCAAAAAGTTTATAAAATGAAGAAGATACTGTTACAAAGGGAAAGTGTATGGAATACCTTACCTTTATGGGGATGGGGATGGGGATGAGAGAAGGAGAATGCTTGATTGTCATTTCTGCCAATGGTGTAAATAAAGGAATAAAAATACACATGACATATAACAGTATCCGTTACTGTTCCTTAATTTCAATTTATGATAAATATAGAAGGTTTGTACAAACTTTAATGCAGAAGGAACAAGAGTAGTTTCTAATAAACTATTATATAGCTAAGTTTGCTGTGTGAATGTGAATCTTCTAGTTTGGTTTGCTGGTTTTTGTTGTTGTTTGTTTTAAAATCTAAATTAGTACTAGGAATGGGTCTAGAAAAAGGTTTAACAAGTTAGAGGAATCTAAGATGGTACATTGAACCAAGTGATTCTTGTGTTACTTCCTCACAACAGTCAACCTGACTGCCACTCAGACCACACCTTTTCTAAAGATTTCCTCCAGCCTCAACAAGGAGTCAATTCCCAAACTGAGTTTTCACAGCCTTTACTACATAACACATAACCATATATGGTAGCATTTTTACACAAAAACTTACACTGGAAGGCAAGCACAATGCCTATTTATGAGTGAGCAATGACTCATGTTTCATAGAAACAGTAAGTATTTGTTAGATGGAAACACCCAAAAAAGTTTTTATGAGACACATGGTACAAACTCAAAGATTTCATAATTCAAACTTATATCAAAGACAGAAATAACCCTAAAAATAAGAAAGTACATGTAAATTTTTTTTTCAAGCTCTGAGACATCAAACCCATGCTAGGCAAGCACTCAATCACTGAGTGACATCACAGCCCCTTTTCTTTTTATTTTCTTTTTCTTTTAATATATTGTACTGGGTACTGGGTACTGGGTACTGAGTATCAAACTCAGGCCTTTGTGCACACGATGCAAGAGCTCTGCCACTGAGCCACATCCCCAGCCCCTTTCTTTTTTAAATATTAATCTATTCAAGATTTCTCTGTTGAAACATCTTAATCTAAGACACCATCATTGTGTACCTAGACTACTGCAAGAGTTTCTTAAACTCTCCCATTCTACATTCTATTCTGTTCAAATAGTCTTCTAATTAGTTTATTTTTCTGTTTAAAATTCTCTGTTTTCCATTGTTCTTTATGATTTTATCTTGATTAGAAGTCCCTGTGTAATCAGGATCTTTTCACACACCATTCTCTGTCTTAGTCTCTGTCCACAGAACTCACTGGCCTTCTCTTGGCTATGTAAATGCAACTTGCTCCTCCCAGTCTGTCTTTGTATATATTGTGTTTACTCACTAGAATTCTCTTCTACACTGCTCCTAGCTAGTTAATGCTTAAGGTAAAAACTCTTCCTTAGGAAACCTTTCCTGATACCACAGGACCCTTGCTTTCCTTATTTATCCCCATAATTCTTTACAGAATTTGTAAAAAATGTAATTGGGTAACAAATTGTGCAAGTAACTCTTGCTAGCATGTGTAGCTGATACAGTAAAGGGATTTGTCTTCTTTCAGTTTGCTAACTAAAACAGTGGCTAGCTCACAGAAATGGCTTAAAATTGATAGAACTGAATAAATGATGGAAAGACTATATGTGTCATTTCAGTACTCGAATCTTCAGGGCAAAAAGTGTAACTGACACATGCTAGGCAATCAATCAACACCTAACATTCTTAAAGAACCTCCCTGAGCTTCGGTTAACAACATGAATCAAATTCAGAGATTATTTTACATGTGTTTAAAATGGATAAAAAACACACCTTAAGAAAGGCCCAGGCAATTTTCCGAAAGCCACATTGTTGGTTTTGAACTTCAGAGTTATTCTTAACTTTATCCATGCTTAAAGAATCAAGAATCTGGAAAAAAATTAAAAACTGTTTTAAAGAACACTAGGCTGTTTAAATTTAATATTTTATATAATATTAAAGTATTCTGATATTTAAAAATGTTTGCTTTATAGAGAATAAAAACATTTTAATCTCATTTCATTCATCCCCAAGTTAACACAATTCAGTTATTAAGAGTTGATTATTTATCTTTTATTAATTCCTTTGTTAAGACTTATTTCAAGTGCAAAGTAAAGTAGTAATTATATAAAATATGATAGATATTCCTATCACCCTGATCTGATCACACATTGTGTGTGTATATATATATATCTTAAAATGCCACACCGTAAAACTCACAGATACATATAAGTACATGTCAATTAAAAATTTTAAAATGTATTTAAAATACTTCAAATATAGTATAGGCACTTAACATATAGGCATACAGTTCTGAAATTCTGATCATTTTTCCTTGTATTAGAGCAGTCTTCAAAGGATTATTTTAGAAACTCAGGACCATATTTCTATATTTTTGCCTTGCCTACCTGCCTTTCTTTTTAGACACGTTAAAATTAGGATTTCTTTCATACCACCATCCTATCTGGATACTAAAGCTTAAAGACTCAAAACAAACCCACCACAGAGACTGTCAGTATGCCAGGGGCTCTCATTTTGTACTTACTGGCACCTATCAAATATTTGACATAAGTTTTTATTGAAGACTGCTCAAGCAATAGCATGGACTTCTTTCCATCTTTCTCTTTAATACTTAAATATTTTCAAATATACATGTTCAGTAAAAAACACTGATAATACAGAAAGAACACTAACAATTTGTAACCTAAACCCATAAATAACCACTAGTAACATTTGTTTATACTAATCTAAACTTTCTGTCTCTGTATTCTTGAATATATATGAGAATGGGACTATGCTGTAAATCCAATGCATGCTATTTTGCTATTTTTATGAAGCAAACGGTGGCTATCCCTTCATGTTAAGACATATGCATGTGTATGAGTCAAATATTCTATCATTTATATTGCTGATTTTGCTATGTATGATTTATATGAAGCCATCATGTTAATAGTTGGCCACTACCTTCTGTATTATCCATATCATATATTCAATAAAAACCATAATTATGCTGAGTCTGTTATTAACTGAAATTTAGATTCATATAGCACTCTAAAATTTGTGCTATTATAAATAAAGTTGAAATAAATATACTTGCATGCACACCCTCACGGATTGGTTATTTTTCACATACAATGAATATCTAGGAGTAAAATAATAGTTTTAAAGACTTCTAATACATATTATCAAATTGTTCTCACTAAACTCTTAAAGGATTGAAGTCATAAAGTAATTACAGGGCCACAGATAAAGCTTAATGACATAGCACCTGGCTGGCAAGTGCAAAGTCATGAGTTTGATCCCGGGTACCCCCCCCCCAAAAAGTTATACAGTAACACATGTTAAAATTTAAGAAGTAACCAGAAGTGTTTATAATCCAATAATCTATAATTTTTAAATCTCTTAATAAATCAGTTCAAGAACACTGTAATAACAATGACAAGTTTCTCTAACAAAAGTTCCTAGAGATATAAATTATTGTATTTGTTTTTACAAATCACATACTGCTCATATAGAGGTGAGTAAAATATTTATATGAGAGAAACAGACAAATAGGCTGACAGTCAAGGACCATAAAAACAGGCAACTTGACAATATAAGTTATCAGCTCTGGTTATGCCAAGTTCCTTGTCATTCCCATGCTAAAATTCTCCAGCTCGGTTAAATTGGAAAGGAGTTTCTCTACCTCCTTTTATGGAAAAGGGAAGAAAAGAACAAAACAGAGAAAAGAAATATGGTATTCAAGATTCAAATTATCATCAAGTATAAATCAGCTACAATTAAAATTGTAATAAATTTGAGGAAATCACTTTTCAATAAAAATATTACAAAACATATCAGCTCAAAGGTTATCTATAAAGCTTTCTCTGACTGCTCTTCCACTTCACATCTAAGAAATTCCTTATCTTGTTGGTTATATATTACTTTGTATTATTCAATTGATCTTTTTTATCTACATGGTCTGCATATTCTTAGAGGCCAATATAGTTAAATGAGTTTACACTTAGTGAATGGGTTCAGAGAAGAGAACTGCACTCACCCAGACTATGCTCATCACTAGAGTTCAAGTCACTGTGTTGCTGTAAGGATTAAAGGGTATCTCACAGTAGCTCCATGGCTAAACCTGAGCGCCAGCAAAATGCTTAGCAAATACTTTATAGCTGTTTAAAAAGCAGGTCCTTACTTGTATCTACACAGCATATTACAAACTCTTGTAAAACTTTGTTGCATTACTTCACTACTGAAAATAAATTATATTTGTGTGATTAAATGTTAACTACAACATAGTTTAAGTTGCTTTATTCAATTCATACCTCAAAGAAAAGGATCACCTTAGGATTTTCTTCAACATCTTGAAGCAAATAGGAAAATTTTTCACTAAATATAATTTGTTCTTCCCACTCTGGAAGTCTTGAGGTAAACTGCTTAAAATCACATGGCTGTGTCATGATAGGAAGAATATAATCTACATTCTCTTTTTCATAGTAAGATGACTCAGGTCTCTCACTGTTTAAAGAGAGATAATTTCATCAACACAATTCTTATAATTTTAGAAAATGATAATATAGAATACACAGCAAAAATAATCAAAAATAGCCAAAATGTTATAAAAGAAAATATTATTTTTATTGTCCATCTAAAAAGTTATAAATTTTATAAAGCTCAAAAGTAGTAGAGTTTACTTTCATTTTGCATTTATATGCTATAACTTGGTTTCACAGAATTACTTCTTTACAGAACTATAAAGTGAGAAGTATGAATATCTGAAACAAAGTAACTTTCTGAATTTTAAATGAATTTGTGATAAAATTTACAAGAATTTCATTTATATAAAAAAATGAGGGGCTGGGGATTTAGCTCAGCAGCATAAGTACCTGCCTGGCAAGTGCAAGGTCATGAGTTAGATCCCCAGTACCAAAACAAACAAACAAGCAAAAAATGAGCAAAACCTTTTAAGCTGTCATCTTTTCTTTGTATTATTCCAACCAACAGAATAAATAAACTTTTTGTGATAATCTTCATGATTTCATCACCTGCCATCTTTCCAAACAAATAATTTTTGTATGTAAAGTATGATCATTTATTTTACTGTATATTTTATTTGGGTCTTCATGTACATCTTGCTTGTAGAAGGAATCTTAGAAAAAAAAAAATTCACAATTTACCTCATCCGAGGCCCCAGCAACATTAATTTCAAAATAGATTTATGATGCATGATGATTTATAATGCAAGTTTTATGGCATAAATTAGTCATTAAGCTTAGCAGAAGCTCTCTACTAAAAATGAACAGAGGTTCTCCATTTTTTCTAAAAATATCAAAAGGTTGATGAACACCGACTGCTAGAAGGGTCCTCTCTACTATAAATTCCCAATACTATTTCCACTGACTTTTAACTTTTGCCAGTAGTAGCAGAAATTAAAACTTTTACTGTAGACAGCTTCAATTTAAAAAGTAAACTGTGCAATGTGAAAAATTACCTGTCATCTTTCTTGACATACTGACCAGTTTTCTCATCAACCACATGAATTTTTACCATTGGGTGGGAAATCATAAAATCTGACTTAAGTCGATCAGTTCGGTGAATATAAACTCCTAAGACAAGGCCATCATCAAGCAAAGTTTTGGGATGAACAGGACTATTTTGGCTTGTTACTTCATTGGTACCATCTCCATCAATTTCCTCATTATTATCTGAAACTACATGCAAAAAAATTATGATTAATCATTTTCTGTTGGAATTACATATTCAACTTTCTGACCTATGATTATTTCATTCTGTCAACAGAAGAACTTACTGGGGATTTAGCTCAGTGGCCTAAGCACCTGCCTGCCAAGTGTGAGGTTGTGAGTTCGACCCCTGGTACCAAATATAACCAAATCAAAACAAAACAAAACAAACAAACAAACAAAAAAACAAACAAAATCCAGAAGAACTACAAGGGAAAAGAAAGAAAATGCCAGACACCAGCAGACCACACACTGGGAGTAAAATACTGCATATACATTAAAGTAGCATCCATGAGGTATCTAGATTTTCCCTAACTAGGATAAATAACACAAAAGAAAAAAGAATCTCCAAACCAAAAAGTAATTTCATCTACGCATTTTCTAGATGGAATATGTATCACTTGGTTCATTTATAACTGGAATGTCTTCTTCTGCAGGAGTTGTAGCTAGATGCAATAGCTGAGCTTCAACTAAAATCATGTGAAAAAACACAAATTATGAAAAGCACATTTTTAAGTCATCAGAAAAGTACAGAAACAATGTATACTAAAATTCGCAAGCTAGTAGAATCTCAACTGCTTTCGTTTTGGGGAACTTTTGCTGACTCGGGGTTCAGCCTGAGCATTTAGGATTTGGCCCAGGGAGGTTACTACTTGAAGGATAAACCAGCAAAATTTTCAGTGGTTCCCTAGGACTACAGTGATACAACTCAAGATTTGAAAAGTCACAAATACAAGTCAAATTACTCTCATAAAACTGAATTCTGAGGCTACTCGGACGCTGAAGAGATAGCAAAATCTCCCATCAAGAGGTGCTAGCAGAACATGTTCTACCAAGAGTAAATTCTGAAATAGGATAGGCAAAAAATAAAATCCTAGAAAGGGTAACAAATTTTCATAAGGATCTTTGGTCAGTTTTCACCTGGGGTCACTTACCAATTCAGAGTTACAGCTAGAGGTTGAAAAACTAGGTGAACACTCCTCTCCCCCTAGTGGAAGGTCACTACTGGAGGACAGAGAAAAGAGCAGAAATTCTGATGTTCATGCAATGCTGGAGTGATAAAACTGGGAGACTTAGGGCCTTCAAACACATCTGGCCCTTAGACATCTGAAGCTCATGAAGCAAAAACTAAATGGCCATGCTAAAAGACACTGAAGGGCAAACTCCATCTCCCATAGTCTTTTTGAGCTGAAGAGATAAATCCCTGTGAAGCTGTCAATTTGAAACACATGGCAGACCACATCTTAGGAATTACTTTTGTTCCCAATTTTTGATCCACCTCAGGATTTTCAATTTAGGAATGTTTTGAAAACTCCATTTTTAGCTTAGATCTTCTCTATCGTACACTTCTATGCTACTTTCCAAAAATATATGGGATATTTATCAAAAACTGATCATAAAAAGGTCATTAGGAAACTCAATAACCTCAAAAGACTGAAATTATTCACAATATACTCCCTGATGAATGAACAGTATATCCAAATGTGAAAAGTAAAACAGTAAAACTTTTAGAAAAACATCTTCAGGACTTGGGAAAGATTTCTTTAAATATCACAGAAAGAATTACCATCAAAGAAAAAAATGTATAAACTAGGTATTATAAAACTTTGTTTTTCAGGAGCTGAGGATACAGCTCAGTGGCGCCAGTGCCTGCCTGGCAAATGTGAGGCTATGAATTTGATTATGATACCAAAAAAAAATAGTTTTTCAAAAGTTATCCATAAGAGAAATAATAAAATCCAGAAAGGCAAAATGCTTGCAATATATGTGTGTATGTGGACATACTTATATCAAGAGAAGATTCACACATAGGTATATAAGATATTCTAACACATGAATCAGAAAAAGACAACTTTTTAAAAAGTGCATAGAATATCTGAAATCTACAAAAGCAAGATTCAAATAGTCAATAAATATAAAGATACTCAGCTAGCTTTAGTGGGAATCAAATTAAAGCCAAAATGAAAATACCTCTATATATACCTATAAATTTCAGAAGTCCAACAATGTACATGTTGGTGAAGATGTAGAAGAAGCAACTGGAATGCTCAAACACTAATGGTATTATTCAGTAACTAAGTTTGGAAAATCTGAAGGAGCTACTAAAATAAACATAATATATGTCATAGCAACTCTAAGAATAGACCTGACAAAAATGTATACAGATATTCACCAAAAGATGTGACTCCAGAATGTTTATTACAGCTTTTCTTGAAAATGCCCAAACTTAGTAACAACTAAGTAACCACCAAGAGACTAAACTAATTGTGATCAGGAATACTCTAAGTATAACAATAGTGTAAATCTTATAAAAGTAACATTAAGTGAGGAAGTCAGGCACAAAAAGTACAATATTTATGATTTTACCAATATTAATACACAAAAAAAGGCAAAAAATAAACTATGTTAGTTGCCAGAGTAGTGGTTAGTCCTGTATAGAACCAACTTGAAGGGGACCTGAGAGATCTTTTGGGTGCTAATGATAATCTTTTTGTTGTTGTTGTTGTTAATGATAGTCTGCTCTTTAATTTGAATCATGATTTTACAGGTATGTTCAATCTGTGAAAATTCAATGGATAATACATCTTTGATACCTCTTTCTATATGTATATTATCTTTCAACAAAAGCTATAAAAATTTTAACTATAAGAGGCACAAAACATCACCAACTGCATTCTCCAATGATTAGAAATCACAAATATTAAAATTGCGTATTTTAGATAGATAATAGAAATCAAGAGAGGAAAAGAAAATTAGGAAAGTGGAGAAGCTGAATTAGACTGAGGAACAGGAAAGACACCATCAATAAGAGAGGGATGCAGCCCTAATATTTACAATGTACTGTTGTTAATTCTAGCTTTCAATGAGGGAATCTTAACAATTTAGGAGATATTAATTAAATGGTTAGAAAAAACAACTTCCCATGCCACAAAGAGCAACTACAAAGTTGAATTAAAGTCAAGAGACAGATGGTTGACTCAAGTAATATAAATTCTTCACAGAGACCCACAGTTAAAAATAAATAAATGATTTAATTTAAGTGAATCAAGATCAAGTACCAAATGTCTGTCTTGAATTATTTTAATTTATACCGTTTAGTTTTAGCTCTAGGAGCTAATACCCTAGGGTCAAGTTATTTCCACCAAAGTAAGTGGTTTTTCAGTTAGTTTGGGTTACAAACCTGCTTTAACCTTCTTTTTAGTTTTCTTTGGTTTGGATTTTGTGTTCTCTGCCGTGTTGTCATCTATGTTTTGTTCCTTTGAACTCATTTCACCATCTTGGTGAGAATCTGAAGTGACAGCTCCAACTGGAGATTCCGTCTTTTGTTCACCTTCCACCACCGCATCATCAGAGGTGGTCAATGTGCTACAAATGTAACCCAAATACAAGAGCCATTACAAACATAGTATTGTAGTAATATTAGGGGCTGGAGATTTAGCTCAGCGGCACAAGTACCTGCCTTGCAAGCAGGCAGTCATGAGTTCGATCCCCGGTACCGATAAAAAGGAAAAAGACAAAAAAATAAAATAAAATAAAATAATATTATTATTCAGGTGCAACAATAGACAGCAAAGAGAAATAAGGATAATCCTAGATTGTTTTTTTCTGTTGAGAAAAGCACAGATTTTCTTACATAATAAAATGACTAGGTGTCAAAGGAGGCATCTTAGATATGATTTTAGGTATGCTTAGTGAGGATTAGTTAATTTTCCAATTCCAGTTAATGAGCCAATTAAACTGAAGGAAAACCCCAGAGGAAAACAGAATTGTATTTTATGAGCAGTGGATCTGTTTGCATGGGACTAGTTGAAGTGTCTTTACCCCGATGTAAAGTTAGCAATTAATAAACATATTTCAAAATTACTTTATAGAAAGGCAAAAAAAACTACAGGCTTTTCCATTTTTAAGAGGCTTCAGAAATATAACTTTTGATTTCTAGGTAAAAATTAGTTCCTATGTTTTCCAGTGGATGATGAGTGATTTTTCTAGGCTACGTTAAAATGAAAACCTGAATCACATGAATCACTGAATAGTAAGGGGGAGCAGCAAAAGAAAACAATGATTGTGAAGAGAAACTAATCCATTAAAATTAAAAGACAAAGTTTTAAAATTAGTCATTCCAGAAAGCCATGTGTTTTGTCACATCATAAAGTATTATTAAGTACAGTTACCCTTCTACTTCTAGCAGACAATGCCAAGCTAATGGATGTCACTTCTAAGATTAGGTCCTAAAGAGACTTTTACCTAGTTCTTGCTCCTTCAGAGCCCTAGTTCTAGGGAAGAAAAGGGCCATACTGTGAGTAGCACATGTGGTAAGGTACTGATGTTTCTGGACAGGCAGATGTGCCAACAGCCACTGACTACTGACTGGGGTTATAAGTGGAGTTCCAAGGCCCTCTAACGGCTATGTGCTTGGCAAGTCCTCTGCAAGGTGAAGTTTGAGCTAACTTCAGCAGCGGCTAACATCCTGAAGGCAGCCTGTGAGAGACCTTTGAGAATCAGAGGCATGCAGCAAAGTCACTTCCATACTCCAAAACCACAGAAACTTTGAGACCATAAATGTTTGTTATTCTAAGGTGCTGTATTCTCAGTTAAATTTTTAATGTAACTGTTATGGTTCATATGTAGTTGTCAACAAGAGCCTCATGCACTCAAGGTGTCAGGCTTTTGGAAGAATGATTCGATTATGATGGCCTGTAGCTGACTTACAACTGAGATGTTGGAGGCTGGTCACATATGCACCCCAAAGAGCATTACAGGGCGTATGGCCTGGGAGTGTTTAACTCCCCCCCAGCACCTCCCTTTTCTCTGCTTTCTGTGGGTGCACACTCTGAACAGCTCTCCTCTGCTATTGCCCTCTGCCACACCATCTCGGCCAGCAGCCAGCCAACTGTGGACTATAAATGCCAGCCCGAAACCTCTCTTCTTTTACTCTGTGGGTGTTGGGTATTACATCACAGTGAATGGAAAGTGACTAATGCAGTAGCAATAGATAACTAACACTTTTATTACTAACATGCCTTTGAAGCCAACTGATTTCCAGTCTCTTTCTTACTACTGGTCATTCAGCTTTTGATAAGAGGGGAATTCTTTTTAGCGGAGGGGTTAAGGGGAAATGCCTTGGAATGCCGAAGAATAGTCATACACAGAATGTTCTCATTGCAAGTTGTTTCTCTAAATGAGGAAAAACGTTGTGGGTTAAAGATTTTATAGGTTATTTTTTTTACAGAACCTGTAAATATGAACTAAGAAACCTACACCATATAAACTAACATGGAAGAGTCATAAAGAAAAGACTAGTGAACACAAAGTTCTTCTCAACAGTAATTATGTTTTGATGGTTACTCTGGAAGGAGCAAATGTTTTTGGAAAATAAGGGGAAAATCCATATTTATACATCCAAACAGGCATCTATCACTCAAAAGGAGGAGTATTAGGGTTTCTATTGTTTTAGAAGCAGGTTCAAATAAGTACAGACTCTGGAGCTAAACTGCCAAAGCGCTGATGTAGCCTATCACTAGTCCTAAGACTTAAATCTTTCAGTTTCTTCCTCAGCAAAGTAGAATAGTATTAGTTTTCCTCCTAAGATTGGTTCAAAGGACAAATGAGTTAGTTCTTATGAAGCCTCTACCCCATGGAAAGGTGCTCTATCAAGGTTAACCATTATGATCGAAGGTCAATATTTTTAAATAAAAGAGTAAGAATTTTCTTAATTCTTAAGCTATAGTTATTATGCAAAAGATGAAAAAATATTTTCTTTCTTAGGAGTAAATTTTATATTTAAAATACCTTGTTTCAGCTTTGGACAGGAGTGGAACTTTCCTTTTTTTCTTTCTTCGTATTTCACTGCTCAATTTGTCATCAGGCAATAAAGTATCTGAGGAAAAGTTAGTCAACTGCTCATCTAGTTTCTTTCTTATTTTCTTCTTAATCTCCTTTGCCATCTCTTCAGCTGCCTGGAGCTGATAAGCTTGCATCAGCTCTTCTTCCCCTTCTAATAAATCATTCTTTTCTCTTCCCTCATTTGCCTTCCCACTTCTCTGATACTCAGCACCTGACTGTAACTTCGTTGGCGCTTTCTGGTACGTGGAATGTACCTTCTTCTCAGGAGTCTCTGGTCCCCTTTCTTGTGCAGCCTTTGGAGAGTGCTTGTGTGACTTTTCTTCCTTGTTTTCCTCTCTGCTAACACCATCGTTTGGATCCTCAGGTGCTGGTTGCATATTCCTCAGCCTGTTTTTAGCGGCTGCCATGCTCTTCTCCAGCTTATTTGTGCTAGAGCAGCTAACAACATCGCTTTTAGCTTCTTTAATATTTTGAGGGTCGCTTTTAAAAGTGTCAAGCTAAGAAGAGAATATGGAATATGGTAAGCTTCTGCTAAGCAATATAAATTTAAAAATCATGATTACTAATCAACAATGTAGAATACTGGAGAGATTATTTTTTTACCTGGACATAATGAGACTACACTTAAAGTAACTGATGAACACCGTTCCAGTTTCTGCTCCCAGAATTAGATTAGTAATCTTTGAAAGGAACTTCAGATTGAATTAATAATAGCATAGAAGAAAGTACTTAAATATTTTTCAAAAATAAATTAATTGCTGAAATCTAAAGTGCAATTTTTCTTACTGGCAGAATGATTCCAACTCTAATCAACGAGTATTTGAGAAATTGCTAAAAGAGTCACTGAGTACAACTCATTTAAGGTTCACCAACAAAAAACACAGATGTGCCATTTATCTTCATAATTTTCACTCTAAAACCATAAATCTATAGCTCTAAGATTAGCTTGAAATTAGTCCAACTGTATCATTAAAATGCTGTTAAATATTAAATATCAAGTTAAATCCAATGATAAACTGAGCCCAGATCTGTTAACTCTTTTTCCAATCATTTGAAATGAGATGTGTTCTTAACAGAAAAACAAACAAACCCAAACAGTAAAAGCCTGGTGATCAAAAAAGGATGTACTAGAGGTAAAATAACCACTTGGAGAAATTCCCCCAAACAGTTAAAAACACAAGAAGTTATATCTACTAAGAAACTATCAAAAAACCCACAGTCCTATGAAAAGTCTCCTACAGAGACAAAGGCTTTTCTGGAGAACCTCTCCATATTACAGTCATGTACCCTAAGGATGAAAAGGAGTCATGCCTGAGGATGAATAACTGAAGAGCTGGGGGTGGATAGCTTCTCCCATACTTCCACTTATATCCGCTGGTGACACTTACCCAGGGGATTAAGCAGCTGAGTATAGAAAGGGCAAGTATAATCCTCACAAACAGCAGAAGCAGAGTATGTTAAAAGCATCCAGCAGGCAGGCAGAAGAAAGATTCTCAAATATGAAAATAACTAGATAATTAGAAACGAATAAACCATAAAAGAAAGTAGCAATAGAGAGAGCTTCCACATCCAATAAAAAGAAAAGTGAGCACCTGAAGAAAATGTATAGTATAAGCAAAAAATGATTTAAAGTAAACATACTAATAAAGAAATCCATAAGCATGTTTGATGAAAAATGCAAATTTTAGAAATAAAATTTTGAGTAAGAAATAAAAGTTTAACAGATATGTTGCGAAACAGGATAGACAAAAACCAAAGTTCTCCAGGATAAAGTAAAAAATAAAAATGAAAAACCCTCTCAGAAATGGTTAAGCTTACCAATAAAAGCTGAGGATTAACTTTTGGAATTTAAAAGTAGTTAGAAAATATCCAATATATAGGAAAATCAGATGGAAAAATGATGAAAGAAACAGCATCACAATAAGTAGCCAATATTTTACTATCCCCAAGAGTCTTTCTTTTGCTCACCTAAAATATTGTCAAATTCTATTTATTCAAGGATAAATTATGAAACTATATCCTCTAAAAACCTTCCTTAATCAAATCTAATAAAAACAGCCTTTTTAAAACAAAAAGGAAGTTTATTTTCACCTTGTTTTAGAAGATAAGCTCAATTGCAAACAAACAAACTATATATATATATATATATATATATATGTATCTTTTTTTTTTTTTTTAAAGACAGGGTCTTGTTATGTTGGACTCGAACTTGCTGTACACTTGCAGCCTCCAGAGAAGCTGGATTACAGACATGCAGTACTACATCTAGCTTTGAAAGAAGTTAACAAGAAAAAAAATACAGAAAGTACCAAAAAGAAAAGCAAATTCAAAATTCAACTCTGGTTGCTTCCCAGAAAGAAAAACACTGCTAATCTTTTCAAAAACTTCTTTTTGTGTTTTTATGAATACAATTATATCCCAAGAACCTCGGATTTCCATTATGTTAAAATCGAGCACGTACAAAATTTTCTGCTTTTTCAGTGAGTACCAGAAATGTAGAGCTAATATACAGGACACTCCTGAAGGAATAGTTGGAAAAAGAAATAAACAAGAAATAAAAATAGGAAGGTGATTTTAACAATAAAATTTTGGGAAAGCCAATCAGATGAAGTTCAACTTTCATTTACTCTGCTCTACTGCTCAGGTCACCTTTGTAGTAATAATGTTTATTTACAGACAGACAGACAGACAGATATGGTCAAACGCAGGTAAGCAGGCAAGTGCTCTAACATAGAGCTACAACCCCAAACTACATTTGTTATTATTTTCTTTTTCTTTGTTTAGTTTTTTCTTGTACAAATATTGCAATAACATAATTCCTAGAGGATCTTTGATAGCAATGTACACATTTCATAGGATTATGCTGATATTTTCATTAATTTTCTGTACATTGTTTTGTGGTTTTGATTTTTTCTAACAGCTTTATGAGATAAACTCTTAAGTATCTTATAAGCTTTTGCTGTTAACTTCAGTTCTTTTGTACTGAAGTTAAAAGAAGACCTTGCTTTGTGAAATTTAATAGCTTCAGGCAGTAGATGACTGAATTTGAAATGACCCAAATACATCTATACTTATGTTTCTGTTCACTCCTTTTTTGAACTTTTGTGCATCAGTTAGGTTATTAAAATTAAGACATTTGGATTTCTTGTATGTTCCAGAATGGTTATCTGTCTTAGAAAATATTTCAGATACACTCAAATGCCATTACTATTGAGTACAATGTTCTGCAAAACTCAAGTCAACTTTGTGGACAGTGTTACTGCTCAACCTCACCCGATCCTCCTGGCTCAGTCTCCTGAATGTTGGGATTACAGGTCTACGCTACTACATCCAGTGCTGATTGTTTTTATGTGGTCTGTAATATACTAATTTCATTGAGTCTGTAATTTCAAATACTGTATTTTAAAAATCTCTACAAGTTGAACTTTGTTTTCTTTATATGTCTGATTGTGTCTTTTGTATCTTTTCATATCTCCTATACCTTTCCTAAAACCTGGTTACCTTGATTTATAGTTTGATAGAGGTCACATCATCTTTTTAAAAAATTCCTTGCAGTATTTCACTTCCTAGCAAACATGAATTTTGTATTGCTGGCTGCTGGACTCTGTTGGGATGCCATTCAATATTATTGAACTGTACTCTGAAGACACAGTACGATTACTTTGATCAGTATGATGTATGTGCGATTTCTTTTAATTTAGTTATTTCCTGAGAAGAATGGGACTTTGTCATTATAGAGCCAATATCATTTCATACTTCTAAGTTAATTAAATATTTAAATGGTGAATTTATTTATAAGTTGAATATTTATGAAGATGAATGAATATATGGATAGAGAATACATAGAAAACCTAAATGATTTTCCACTGTTCAAAATTATGTATAAACAATTAAAATTTTTAGAAGTATAATGCTTAAGGTAAAGAAGATATTATCTCTATGAAACAGCAGTTAAAAAATAAAAGGAGAAAGGAGAAAAATTAAGAATAAAATCAAGTTAACATAGTATAGACAATGATAATGAGCCAAGTTAATTAAACTTCCATCTTTGAAAAACAAAAATTCAGTAGGGGCACCACGGCACACACCAGCTACTCAGGAGACGGAGGAAGGAAAATTCCAGGGTCACAATCACCCTAAGCAAACTTACGAGATCCTGCCTCACAACAAAATTTAAAACTGTAAGAAGTGACTAGAGATTATAATACAGTTAAACCTGAATATTAATTTCCAAATAACAAAATTTACACAGGGCTCTGGATATAGCTCAGTGATAAAGTCTTGCCTAGCACGTACAAGGTCCTGGGCTTTATCTCCATCACCATACAAAATAAAAATAAATGCCCAGCATGCATAAAGTACAAGTCTTCTGTAATATTTACTAATAAATTTCAAAACAACTCTATGTCTCTGGAAATTTTATTCAACCCTCTCAAAGTTTTTATAGTTTCTATATATGTGATGTTGACTGTTACTTGTACTTTTTTCATCCAATATTTTCTAATATTTTTTCTAACTACAATAGATTTTTATATGGTTGGTTTTTATCTATTTGTACACATCACTCAATTTACCTAATATTTCTAATGATATCAATATTGAGACTATCAATAATAATAATCTGTTATCCTCAGAACCACACAGTAATTGCCCACAGGGAGGCGGTACAGCATGGCTGTCATAAAAACAAGCTGTGGAATCAGGACTGATTCACTAGTATAAGTGTATGTTCCTTGTTAAATTTACCTTTCTCCTTTAGTTCTCTAATCTGTTTTGATTTTATAAGACTCACGAAAATAGGTGAGTTAATACATGAAAAAGACTTTGTATGATTCCTGGCATGTAGTATAGACAAGCATCGATTGAAACAGCGGGTAACATATCTGTGTTTCATATCTTATTATACTACCAAAAATCAAGAATATTAAATACATATGATGAAAAGAGATTTTTACTAGGGGTGCTGACTTTAAAGGAAGAACCTATATACTAGATTCTTACATACCATATATGGATTATTTTCTCTCCTTGATGGGAAACTATTGCAGTCTTACATAGTATGCTATGTGCATGGGTGGATTTTCATTTTACCTGAAACTTAGAGGGGACATAATTTTAATACACATGAACATCAAACAATTAGAAATAATTACCATTCTATTTTCAATTAAAATGTTTTCGCTTTAATTTTTATACATTCATATGGTTTTTATTCAATCTATCTGTACTAATTTATTAATATTGGCCAATATCCAGTTAATAAGCTATACATGAGTTCTTGGGTGGGGACTGAGTTGGACTATTCTTTTAACATGGTTAATTTCAATCATATATTATAGTTTTTATTCTTTCAATATATTCAAAATTAGACAACTCTTAAGTTTCTAGAATGTATTTCATCTACATATTTGCATTTTTATTTTTAAACTCTATGGTCAATTTATTTGATAGTGGTACTACTATTTTTAAAAATCTATTTTAGTATGTATTTTTAAAACAGGTAGCTTTAGCCATTTATATGTATTGTCATGACTAGGAGTTTGCTCTTATTTAATTACTTCTCTTCTTTTTAAAAAAATCTCATGATTATTCCTTACCTTTGATGATTTAAAAGTGTATTAATCTATTTTATATACATTATGTAAGTTACTTCACAATCTAGAATGAATAACTACAATTTATGTAAGAGTAATAGTTACATGACTTTCTCTATATGAACAAGATTCACTTGTTTAATCTCTGAAAACCTGTATGTTATTGTATATAAGTAGTTCTTACCTTTTATTTATTTATTTATTGATTCATTCATTCATTCATTCAGGCAGAGTCTTACTATGTAGTTTAGGCTGGTCCTAAATCACTTTGTTGCCACACTGGCCTTGACTCTGTGATCCTCCTGCTTCAGCCTCCCAAATGCTGAGATTACAGGTGTGTGCCACTATGTCTAGCATCCTTGTCTTATGATTTTTTTACTTTATGATGGTACAATGAACTAGAAATAATACTTTTTTTCTTTTTTCGTGGTACTGAGGATTGAATTCAGGGCCTTCACACTCAGCTACATCCCCCAACCCTTTTTATTTTTTGAGACAGGGTCTTGTTTAGTTACTAAGTTGCCCATGCTGGGCTCAGATTCCCGGTTCTCTTTCCTCACTTCCCAGAGTGCTGCAGTTACACCCATGTGCTACCACACTTGGCCTTCACTTTGAATTTTGAATTTGACTATTTCCCCAGGCTAGTAGTATGTGGTGTTACACTCTCTGGAGATGCACAGGAGCAGCAGAGAGCTTCGGCTCCCTGTCAGCTCCCTATCACATCTGCAGACAAACAGCACCCAACAAGGATCTATGTTACTAAAATAGTATGTTCAGGATACTAGTGCATTAAATGTATTTTAAATTTAAAAATGGGTTTATAGGACACAGCACCATTTTAAATTGAAGACTAATTGTACTCACATCTAATATAAATGTCCAGCAACATTTCTGACACAATAATCAAGAAAGTTCTATATGTTAAACAGATTTTAGCTATCTTTTTTTTTTTTGGAGCCAGGGTCTGTCTATGCAGATCAGGCAGGCCTTGAGCTCACTTTGTAGCCCAGGTAGGTCTCGAACTTGTAACAATTCTCCTGTCCAGCCTCCTGAGTGCTAGGAATACAGGTATGACCCACTACACCCAGCTAGCTAAAATTCTAAAATTGCTACACAGATTTAATGCAATTCCAATCAAAATACTATTATCATACCTCACACATAAAATATCTCACAGAGAAAACATTCCTAAAATTCATTTGAAACCAGAATAGATCTAGAATAGCAAAGCAATTCTGGGCAACAAAGACAAGTCAAGAGGCATCATAATCTGAGACCTGAAATTATATTACAAAGCTGCTGCGATAAAATCAGTACAGTACTGACAAAAAAATAGGCTGGAGGATCAATGGAAGAGAACAGAAAATGCAGACACAACCTCAAACGCACTCAGCCACTTTATCTTTGACAAAGGAGCCACTTGTTCAATGGAAGAAAGATAGGCACTTCAACAAATGCTGCTAAAGAAACATGCCTATCACCATGCACTAAAGTTAAAATGGATCAAAGATCTAAAGTATTAAAATAAAAACACTAAATTTACTGGAAGAGGAAATAAGTAGAAATCTTAAAGACATAGGTGTAGGCAGAGACTTCATGAACAAAACCTAGGCTACATGGGAAATATTACCAAGGATCAATGAATGGAATCTTGCCGTATTAAAAATTTGCATAACAAACATCACCAACAGAGTGAAAAGACAACCCAGAGTGGGAAAAACTTATAGACAGTTGTCCCTCAGACAAAGGATTTATATCTAGAACATATAAAGAATTGAAAAAAATTAGATCCCCAAATTAAGAGACCCAACCCCAAAACAGGAATCTGAGATGAACATACACTTCTCAGATGAAAAAATACAAACAGCAAATAAGTACATGAAAAAATTGTTCAACATCATTGGTCATTCAAGAGATGCAAATAAAACAACACTGATATTCCATCTTATCCCAGAAAGAATGTCTATCATCAAGCAATTAACCAATAATAAATATTGGTGGGGCTGTGGGGAAAAGGGAACCCTTCTCCACTGTTAGTGGGAGTGTAAACTGGTACAATCAGTGTGGAGATGCCTCAAAAAACTAGGATTGGAGGATCCAGTTGACCAAGCTATTACCATTTTGGGTATCTTCCAAGAAGAATTAAAAACATTGTACCACAGGGATATATATGAACTTATGTTTACAGCAGCACAATTTGTAATAGTTAAATCTTGGAAACCACTCAAATGCCCATCAACCAAGGAATACATAAAAAAAATATGGTCTTTTTATACAATGGAGTACTACTCAGTCACAAAGAAGGATAAATTGGAGACTTTCACAGATAAATGGATGCAAGAGATCATATGTGAAATAAATGAAACCCAGACATGTAAATACCATATAGTCTTACTAGTGTAAGAAACTGAACAAGTACATTAAATCCAAAACACACGGTAGATATTGTGAATTGGGAAGAAACTGTTCAAAAGAAAAGATAAAATGTAATGGCACAAAGGAAGAAAGGGAAAAAGAAAAAATATATATATTTATATGCAAGATACTTAAAGTTATATAGCTAGTTTCTCTCAGTTCATTGGAAATAAAGATTTTGTAATATTGTTTGGACAAAATATCATGCCCATATCTTGTACTCTAAGTAATTACTATGAAGACAATAGTACACAGTGTATTAATTATTATAACTCTCCTACTAATCCAGAGTTTCCTGTTTGGAACTTTTTATTGTTATTTTTATTTTTTTCTAAAAATAAGAAAAAAAATACCCTAATTTTAAAGCTCATAGAACAATATTTTCAGATTATAAACGTTCCATATTTAAATTCTTATCTTGGACTCATGTATGAAAATTGTACTGTATCTTCAACTAGAGCATCTTCCATAGTTCACTTATGAATGCACAAGTTTACTGCTGTTCTCACAAATGACTACTTAACAATACTAAATTCTGGCTCACAATTGTTCACTCATTCCTCTAGACACTTCTTCACTGTTTTTTGGATTTAGTGTTTTTTAAAGAGAAGTCTAAAATGGTTTTGGTATTTGTAAAATCTCTTTTTTGATATTTAAAAATAATGTTTCTACATACAGTTACTGTCTCATAAATTTTACCAGAATGCAAAACAGATTCATCTTTTCACAATCCCAAGAAGGCTGTTTATTTGTAGGTCAAATATCTTTATAAGTTCTTATTACTTACCATTTAGTTTATTTCAGTTTTACCCCTTTCTTCTCATGGAAGAACACCTCGTATCTATCACCCATATCACTGTCCCTTCCACCAGTTTGCATATGCCCTTCTTATAGGACACCACTGAAAACGGAACTCAATACTCTAATAGTGATGATCCTGCTAACACAAATTTTACCTTTTCATGTGTTATTGACCATGACACAGACTTCTTCTTTTTAATTTCTAAATCTGAATTTTAATATGAAAGCCAAGACATTATATAGATATAATTTGCTATAAAATTATTAATTATTAATAATTATTAATAATTTGCTATAAAACCAAATGATCAAATACTCACTGAGATGCTTTCTCTGAGTTTTTTCTTCAGTTTTTTCTTTTCTCGTATTAGGTCATTGTGGTTCTTAAATAATTCTTCAAAGCGGACTTTGGTTTTTACCTTGGCTTCACTCTCAACTACAAAACAAAGACACATGTTATTTTTCTAAGCAACAATACTACAACTTAAACCTGCATTATTATTATGATAAGGATACTTTCTTGTAAGTATCTGCATGAGTTCTCTAGCTACATTAAAACAGTAGTACAATCCCTCCACCTTTAAATACTTTTTCTTTTAGCTTGGGTGACACTACTCTCACCTACATCTTATTTATTTTTGGCTTCTCTCTCTAAAGGTCTCCTTTGCCAAGTTAACCTTTCACATTTGATGTACAGCAGCATCTATCAATTTTATTTATGTGCCCTTCGACAAGTCACTTAACACCCCTAAACTTCATTTTCCTTATTTGTAAAATCACAACTCTACGAAGATCAGTTTGCATAAAAAATGACTGACATTTGATTAGCTTGTAAGTCAGAATTCAACAAGTATTAAAAATTATTTTTCCTATAAAACATTCCTCTGCTTAAAACTCCATATTTCCTATTTCAGGTAGGATTAAAAAAAGGTTCTTCACATTCCCTGGAGGGTTCTACACTGCCCAGAGGTTCCAGAGCTCCAAATTAAGACAAATATCCTCTTAGGTAGTTACATCCTAGCTGAATTGCCTTTCTTGTAGCTCCCCCAGAAGAAGAAACCCTTCCATGTGAATAACGCTACCTCTACCTGGTGCATACTTACTCTAGCTCTTTACCAAATGGGCAGTTAGCTGATTAAGTACTGTCTAAAACTGTTGGGAGCCTGCCGTATTACCCATGAGAATATAGCCACAAGATGGCGTCCGCCTACCGCCTCGCTGCTCCCCCGCCCATCGTGTGCCCAAGATGGCGCACACATCCTGCTTCCTGGTTCTTGCTCGGCTTACTGTCCCCGCCATATATGGTAATGATTGATTGCTTCCTTGTTGCCGCCCAATCGCCTGTCCCCACGTGTAATCCCATGATTGGATAACATTAGCTATATAAGCCCAAGTATAGGAAGTGCCTGACGCACAACACATAGGAAGCCGTCAAGGACGGACGTGTATTGAGGTTGTAGCCCAGTCAATAAAGGAGCCTGCAGAGACAAAGTATTCGTGTGCCTCATTCTGCGGGACAGACGCGGCGCCGGACATAAAACAGACCATTTACTGACACCCTCATCTAAATTTTCCTGTTTCTCAATTAGCAGGTTGTTCTTTTCCTTCATAGCCTTTAGTCCTACTGGAATGAAGGAATATATATATATAATTTTATATATTTATATAGTCTCTCTCTTATTATACTACATATTTACATTCTGTAGCTACTAGCATGAGGTCTGGCACAGAATAGGTAGTCAATAAATACATTTTCAATTAATAAATACTGAATACAGATGTGGGCAAACTATGGCCCACTCATCAATCACCTGTTTTTGTGAAGTTTTGCTGAAATCAGACATGCTCATTCAGTTAAGAGTTTTTAATGCTGTTTTCATGCTTTAATGACAGAGTTGAGGAGCTGCAACAGAAACCAACCCTAAAATATTTACTACCATCTCTGAGGGTAATATTTAGCTAGTTACATCTACTTTGTTCATTACAAATAAACCTGTTAAAGTAAACCAAACTTAACAGTAAATGTATAAAATACAAATTTTGCACACAAACTTCCTAAAAGCCTTACCAGTTGGCATTGCTGAACTTTATGAAGAGCATTGAGAAATAAGGTAAAACGCTGACTCAGTCAGGATCCTATGAAAACAAAAAGAGTTTGTTATTTTTTAATATGGAACTACCAAATAAAAATCACAAAAGATTCTCCAAGCAAGATTATGCCATGGTTATCTCTTCTGCTTCATCAGATTTATAACAATAAACTACATTCTCTTATTCCAATTCTACCCAAATATAATATGAATACCCTGAAATCAGGTTAGGATCTTGATATATAGTTAAGTAAATTGGGTCATATCTAAATAACATATTCATATATTTGAAATAAAAAACAGTTTAGAAAAAAATGAAACATCTACATTGGCATGTTAGTAAACCTTTAAGAAGGGTTATAAAACATTTTAACATGCTTTTAAGAAACTAAACTCCACCTCATGATGGACTTTCCCAGAGCATACACTATTTTACTAGTAAAATATACTGTGGCTAGCACATTCATAAATGATACATACAAATATTTCTGTATCCCACAAACAAATACATGACAATAAAGAAGGTTGACAGAAGTATTTGTGCCATCTTTTTCAAACCTTGATCAGTACTATGCTAAAGCTACTCAAGATCATAGAAATGCAATACATACATCCTTCATTTTCACATTAGAATACAATTGTTATTTGTTTTAAGAATAAAAGTGAAGATCTGGAGATGCAGCTCAGTGGTAGAGTGCTTGCCTATTGTGCTTGAGGCCCTAGGTAGAAATCCTAAATCTACAAAAAATGAAATTAAAAGAAAAATTAAAAAAGAAAATATACAAAATTTTTTTTAGCTGGCTGAGGCATTCACTAATGGTCTAATTTCCTAGAGATTCACATTCATGCTTCTCTAGCAGAAAAATCTCAGAAGAAAGGTTAAAGAGAAAAGAATGATTATGCAAATACACTTAATTATATGCACTAACCTATGTAACAACTATATAGAGTACAGAATACACATCACTAAACCTACAGTGTAAAAAGCCTGTATGTCCTCTTTCTAGGAAACAGATTTGACAAGCCTGGTCAGCACCTACTTTCCATTTCACAATTAGAAAAGGCAGAGGATATAAAGTGCAGTAACAGCAACAGTGATTGAAACCGACAGCACATAAGCAACAGGAATTTAACACTTACATGCATTTTGGTTATTCAGTATGTAAGACAACAGTTGAAATACACTATATGGCTTATTTATATTGGACAAAACCTGTTTTCTCTTGAGCAGAAATTTTTTTTTTTGTCTTTTTCCTTTTTATTGGTACTGGGGATCGAACTCACGACTGCCTGCTTGCAAGGCAGGCGCTTATGCCACTGAGCTAAATCTCCAACCCCTTGAGCAGAAAATTTATGTCACATTTTGGAAAGGAAACCAATGGAGAAACAGGAGAAAGAACTGAAGGCACTGATGAATAGAAAGCACAGAAGATACAGAAACAACAATAACAGGCATATTCAGTTATGTTATTTTTGACAAAGGAGTCGAATCCTTCGCTGGAGGACAGACAGCTTTAACAAATGGTGCTGGAAAATCTGACTATTCACATGTCAAAGGCTGAACCCAGATCAACATCTCTCACTATGCACTAAACTAAAATCAAAATGGATCAAAGCTCTAAATATTAGAACAGAAACATTTAATCTACTGAAAGACAAAATAGGTAAAACTCCTTAACACAGGTATAGATAAAGACTTTCTAAACAAAACCCAGTTGCACAAGAATATCAAGAATCAATGAATGGCAATTAGACAATATTCCACAGTGATATACACGTATTCATATTTAGTTAAATCATTCATAATAGCTATGTATTAAAATAGCCAATATTGCCATCAACAGATGAATAGGTTTAAAATGTAGTATTTGTACAGAATGGAGTACTACTTTGCCATGAAAAGGATAATCTGGGGGCCAGGGATTTAGCTCAGCGGCCTAAGCAACTGCCTCTGAAGCGCTAGGTTGTGAGTTCAATCCCCAGTACCAAAACAAACAAACAAACAAAAAAATAAAAGACAGAAAACCTTAAAAAGGATAATCTAGAGTCATTCTGTATTAAAATAGATGCCCCATAAGGATTATTTGTTTCTAAAACTAGAACAAGCAGACCAGTAATGCCATTAGACAACTGGTCATAGAACAAGTAGACCAGTCATGTCATAAAGCAGCACAGTGGAGTAGTTAAAACCTCAAGTCCTAGGCTTGGTCTCCCACAGCTCTTATGTGACTCTGGACAATTTATGTCTTCCCATGTAAAAGTAGCACAATAGCACCTACTCAGAGGGTGAAAGAGTTCCATGATTTTAGAAGAGCAACTCAGATTAAAGGCATCGATAAAGTAAGTCATAATTATAACAGGCACTTCTTATGGGGCCAGTTAGGGAGCTTAGCGTGGGGCACGTTTATCTGGTATCCGAGGGGCTCTAAGTAGATACAAGTATCAACTTCATTATCAGACCTCTAGATTCAACTCCAAGTTTCACTTGTCAGTAATCAGTATAAACTTCAATATCCTCATCTTTCAAAGAATAATAACAGTAAATCACTCACAAGATTTCTGAAAAAAATGAAATGAAAACATGCAAGTGAAACACCTGGCACAATGCATGGCAAGCTCTTAAAAATTATAGGAGTAAAAACATAATCATATTATGCTTGGCACACACAGAATATATTCACTCAACAGGGATATCTAGGCTGCAGAGAATTGTTTATATGTGTGATAGATGCTGAAAAAGAGAAAAAATAATGGCACAATTCTACGACCCCATAAAACAAAGTACAAGATTATCAGGGAGACTGGTGAAAAATGAAACAGAGAAGTATAATAGAAAGAGAAATAATTTTAAGAAAGAAGTGGCATATACTGCGTGTGTTATCAAAAATTGCTGCAAGTTTTGAAGAGGGTCTACTAGATCTGTGTCGGGAAGTCCCAGGTTGCCAAAGTTGTCTACTGAGGGGCAGCAACCTGGGTTAGGTTTAAGGAATGAATGAATGCTGAGTCGATGGGAGCCTCTTAGAATTCTTTTCCAACTATCTTCACCTTATCCCCAAAGGCAGTGTGACATGGGGCAGTAATGTTGATGGGCTAAAGACTGGAGGAATTTTCTTTTTTAAGATTGCTTCAGATTCAGGGTGTGGTGGTGCATACCTAGTCCCACCACTCAGGAAGCTGAGGCAAGAAGATCACAGAGTGTTCCAGGCCAGCCTGAGCTACATTCAAGGCCAACCTGAATTGTTTAGTGAGACCATTTTTATGTTTCTGGATTTTCATTAATCCATTTACCTCAACCGAGAATTTTAATGCTGCCTAAACTGTTCTGTGAACCCCTATCAAACTGCTAGTTGGAGGGCCAGGCCTGTGTTCTCTTTATTTATATATCTCCATTTTTTAAAAAAAGCAGTAACAATGGTTAAAAAGATTTAAGCTTGAGTTCTTGTTTTGACACAGATGTGTAGCTACTTAATTCGCTAGTCTTGGTGTTGTGTTTGTTTTGTTTGCCTGAAAAATTTGAATACCTACTATCTTATTGTAAGGAAAAAGGAAATATCAAAAAGCAAAATAATCATACTTGCAGGGGCTCAATAAAATTACTTTATGCCCATTCAATAAGTAAAAACTATATAATAAATTCTATGATTAAATAAATTAGACATTTACATTTCTAACCATTAAATTTAATGCATAATTGAACTAATAAACAATATTTAATGGCGTGGCAGGGCCAGAGATGTAGCTCAGTGGCACAACGCTTGCTTGGCAAGTGTGAGGGGCTGGGTTCAATTTCCCGTACCAAAAAAAAACCAGCATGGCAAATACATTGCCGAAAGAATCATCCTCTAAATCACTTGTACTACAGAAAGCATACTACACAATGACTAACAGTTGATTTTTAAGATCAGACTTTGATAAAACAATCTTTGAACCTCATATATGCCATTATTTTTTTTAAATTCTCCTTTCAAAGTCATTTATAGGAGTTTCTAATAGATATTACACATAAAAAAGAACCTGATTACATTTTATATCATTTTCTTTTCCCCTGACCACCTGATTATCTAGCTATATGTTACTAAAGAATAAAACTAAAAAAAGGTAGTGAGCATCTGGGCATTTAGCTCAGCGGCCTAAATGCCTGCCTTGCAAGTGTGCAGTTGTGAGTTTGAATTCCAAAAAAAGAGAGAAAGTAGTGAGGCTTGGATAACATACCCCTTGACCAAATTTACTAAAAATAACTCCCCCCAAAACAAAATCAGTGTTTACATAATGCAATTAATAAATCAACAATAGTTTTCATAAATAAGATTCTAAATATCATTTTTAAATTGCTGTATTTTAATGTCTTTCAAATATTTTTTTAAAAATGTCCTAGGGCATTTCTACCCAGCAATCTTCCTGACTTCCCACGCAGGAGCACCAAAAGTTAATGCCACAGGTGGAAAATCTGTAAGCATTCCTTTCTCCAAAATAGGAAAAGCCTTATTTCACAGTAATGGTGAAATGCAGCTTTATCATTTGATAGAGACCCCTAAACAGCCTACATTCTTTATTTTATAGCTTTTCTTCATCTTTATGCCTATCAGAACGACCTAGTTAATATAATTTGACTCTTACAAATATCACACATATATCATTTTTCATGAGGCGTGATTAAGAAGGCATCTCACAGGTTTCAGATTCAGCACCAGGCTGACACTCTAAAAGAAAATAAAAGTTCTTAATACCCACTTGTTTAAAAAAGTATCTAAGCCAGAATCAGGAGTAGGAAACGCAGGCTGAATTCACTATAAGAGGATCTGGCTGGACACTCCGAGACTGCGAGCCCCGAAAAGTATGCAGCACTATCTCAAAATTCGCATCCTCAGCACCCGGCCCGTGCTCGGCCTAACAGGGCACAGGGCGGCCCCCAGCAGTCCCCAGCCCAGCCGCCCCTCGAGGGGAACGGGCAGGCCCAGAGCGGATCTCGGCTCTCGCCGTCGGCGCACCCGCCGGGTACTCACGAAGGAGAGCTCAGAGGTGGCTGCTCCGCCGGAGGTGACAGCCAGGCGAGCTAAGCGGCTCCCCTCCCCAGTCTGAGTTGGTATCGGAAACCCGAGGCTAACCCACACTAGCCTCCAGCAATTTGGGCTCTGAGAGGAGGCCGGGAAAGCCGTGCAGGCAGCGCGCTACCAATTGACGTCAGGACGGCCTACGCTGCCGTTCCCATGACAACAGGGCGGCCCAGGCTCCGGGCGTAGACCAAGGCCACGCCCAATCCTTCTCCGTGGCCCCGCCCTGTGTGGGCCCGCCCCGCCCCGCCCCGCCCCGCCCCGCCCCGCAGGCGAGTTCCCGCGGACCTCAGCCTGCTGGCGAGCAGGCGATGGCTTCCCCGCGCGCTCCCGCGCGAGAAAGACTCGCGCCACCAGGACCTGGGAGGGAGCGCGGAGTGCGCCGGCGCGCTGTGAGCGCCCGCACTAAAACTCCACATCTCAGCTCTGTACTGAGCTCTCGGACAGACAGAAGCGACAGAACCCCAGAGCTGGAGTCCGCGGTGGAATCCGCGGGGAGTAACTAACACAAACGACTGAGAGGTAATGAAGGGAGAAAATAGATTCGTCACCTCGCCTCCGCACACGTGGGCTCGTTCCCGCGAAGTGAAATGTGATTTTAAGCATGGAGAAAGCGCTCTCCCAGAGACGCAATCTTAGGAGTAACAAAATTTGCCAAGGTTCGCTGAGTTATCTTACGGTTGAAAACCAGACAAAAATGTAAACGTCATCTTCACCAAACGCCCTTTCTTTCTCCACTTTGCTAATTTCTACTGCAGGCGCCTTTTTTTTTTTTTTTTTTTTAATGTGTGTGAGTCACTAGAGAGGGAAAAATACGAGACGCATTAGCCAATCGTGAATTGAAGACCATTTTCTGCAGTTAGCACCATAACCTGTTGCTCTCATTGTATGGTGAGTTACGTGTATTTCTTTGGAGGCTAGCTTTTCCAGTCTTTGGTATCTTCACACTTTACAAAGCAAATCTCATTTGTTTGCTGAAAATCTTGGAGACAATGAGAGGTAGTAATCAATCCGGGTGTGCCGAATTAAGCTGTTACACTTTCAGCTCTAACTCTGCTTCCCTTCTAGATTTCTGTCTTTCAGCCACCACTTTTCTTGCTGTTTTAGGAACGTACCCCATTAGAGTTAGATTTAGATCCTAAGTAATCTACCGAATCACGTCCATCTCAACTGCCAGCCGCTGGGCACCACCCGTCTCACCATGGTAATTGTGAAATGACCCCTTTGTTCCAATTTTGACGAATAAATTCCATTCTCCACATTACTACAGGGATGACCTCATTAAAAATCTGAAGCTAGGGGGCTGGGGATTTAGCTCAGTGGCATAAGCGCCTGCCTTGCAGTCGTGAGTTCGATCCCCGGTACTGATAAAAATGAAAAAGACCAAAAAAATAAAAAAATAAAAATCTGAAGCTAATAACGCCAGCTGCCTGAAAGTTCTTCCGAGGCTGTCTATAGGAGAAAATCTAATTATTTACCTGGAATACAAGATACTCCAGCTCTCTGAATAATTTTACTATTACCTTACTTCAGTTTCAGACATCATCAAATTATGTATACCATATGATTTTGTGCAGTAGTAAATTGTATGTACCATACAAAACAACCACATCACCACAGAGCTACAACCCTAGATGATGTTAATAATTTTTAAAATAATGTTAACTTCCTAATTTCAATGACTATTTAGCAGATAGCTAGATTTTTAGAAAATATACACTAAGAGGCTGGGGATTTAGCTCAGCGGCATAAGCGCCTGCCTTGCAAGCAGGTAGCCGTGAGTTGGATCCCTGGTACTGGTAAAAAGGAAAAAAACAAAAAAAAAAAAAAAAAAAAAAAAAAAAAGAAAAGAAAAGAAAAAAAGAAAATATACACTGAGAATGGGTAAAGAGAATGTGTTACATATATACTGTAGAGTACTACTCAGCCATAAAGAAGGATACATGTGAGTCCTTTTTAGGAAAGTAGATGTACCTTGAGACTACAATGCAGAATGAAACAAATCAGACACAGAAGGTTAAATACTGAATGATTTCTCTTACATTGAAGCTTTCTTTATCTCATGTAATGGCAACTTCATTTTTTTAAATTACTCAGGCCAACACCAAGCATCTATGTTAGCATAGATTGGCACTCAGATCTTTTGTAAGTTTACAAAAGTTTACAACTCAGAGGAGATTTTTTTTTCCACTCAAATTTTAGCTTGAGAAACCTTATTTCTCTTTGTTGATGTGGCCTTTTGAGGGTTTCAGATTGTTTGTTTGACACGGGCTCTATGTAGTGAATGTTTAGTTTAATGACTCCATTTTTACCTTTTTTTTTTTTTTTTTTTTTTTGAGCACAGGGTCTCACTTGCAGTTCAGGCTGGCCTTGAGCTCACTTTGTAGCCCAGACTGTTCTTGTACTCTCAATAATCTTCCTGCCTCAATCTCTGGAGTGCTGGAACTACAGGCATGTGCAACCATGCCCAGCTTTATTTTTATTTTTTATCAGTGATAGTTCATAATTTGATATCTTTCAAATGTTTAAATTATTAAAGTGCTTATTAATAATACAACAAGGGAGGGTGAGAGATATTGCTCAGTGGCACAGTGCCTGCCTGGCAAGCCCAACAACAACAAAAAAATCTAAGATCAAGATATCCCCTTGTAAGAGCTGGGGTTATAACTCAGAGGCACAGCACCTGCCTAGCAAGTTATGAGGTCGTGAGTTCAGTTCCCGATACCAAAAAAAAAGAGAAAAAGATAATACAGCAGGCTCATAAGGGGAAATACCTCTAATTTCTCACATACTTTCCTTTTCCTACATACTTTCTCACAGACCTAGTTCTGAGACCAGGCCCCTTAGTTTCTGGTTTTGTTTCTTCTGGTGATCACCACCCTTATCACTATTTATGATTTATCAATTTAAAATAAATATTTATTTATTTTATTGCATTTTTTTGGAACCGGGCAAACTCACAATCTTACATTTGCCAGGCAGGTGCTTGTGCTGCTGAGCTAAATCCTTGGCCTTGATGTATTACTAAGAGAAACATTAATTTAAGTCACATACACTATCATCCAGCTTCCTTATCTATTTTTCCCCAAAAGTCACATAAAGAGGTATTATTGTAAAATAAATAAGAACACAGATTTTGAGATCTCACTGTGTGACATTAGGCAACTTAAGCTTTCTGAGCCTTTTTCCTCATCTGTAAAATGGGGATAATAATAGTTCATTCCACAGGTAACTATTGTGGGGACAAATGAGCTAATATATTTAAAGCACTAAACTATTATATTCATTTTCTTTAGTTATCTTTGTGTGTTTTAAATATTTTGTTTATCTCTGTATGCTTAAAACATTTTGTTTACTTCTGTGTGTTTAAATAATCTATTCACCCTTTTATTTTTACTACCTATAGGTAGCATCTCTTATCACCCAACTGTGTAAGATGAAGAATTGGCAGCCTTACATTGCCCTTTACCCACTTCCACATGCCGAGCTCACTTCCTGTATTTTCCATCTCCAATTGTTCTCTCTTTCTGGGAGATTTTCTCAGTCTTCTAATGATCTCTTAAATTTACTTTAGCAATTATATTTGTAATTATAATAATGTTATCTGATTTTTAATGGAATTTTAAGGATTCAGAACACGTTTGCAGTAGCCATATTCTGGGTGCCATGCATGGGATCTCACTTGTGGGCTGGCTGGAGTGTGACGAGGCTGGGGAGAGGAGACAGGGCTCCTGGACTGTTAACCATCTGCAACCTAGCATGGGCAGGGCTCATCCAGAGCCAAGGGAGTAGACCAGAGGCTGCTGCAGGTCAAGAAGTCCTTTCAGCTGGCTCAGCCAGTGCACCGACTGCACAGACAAGAGATTGGAAAGACCCTCTAAAACAGCATCCTCCACACCTAGTAACATAGAGGCCCCATGACATATACATGAGAAACACCAACTAACATCTCATCGTGATCCTAAAAAAGGTGCCAGGAATAGAAGGCACTACTCAAAACCAGGTTCACTTTTTTTAGTAGCAGATACCTAACAGTGACCCCACTCTTAGCATCCTTAAAAACTGGGAGCAGTTTGACCCTGATTATCTGAAAAAAGAGCAACTTACCTTCTATTGCAATACTGTTTGGGTCCAACAAAAACTAGGAAATGCAGAATGGCAATCTAAATTATAATTCTATTTTTCAGTTCTTTTTTTGTAAAAGGTAAGGAAAGTGATGTGAAATCCCTTACGTTGAGACTTTTAGAACTACCTGTGGAAAGACACAAGAGCTATGGTATACTTAAAGAGACCCTAAAGGAAAAGGAAATAGGTATCATTGACAGTCCTGTCCTCAGAGGCTCACTGTCTCTCAGGGCAATATGTTTAATGAAAATAATCACACTAGGTGGTCTCCTTGATCACTTAAAATCCACTAATGAGTAAATCAGTCCCATCCTCCTCAAATAACTCAGAACCTCCACCCGAGGCTAGCTCCTGAGAGAGATTCCGGATTCCCCGGCCCCCTCCTCTTACTCATCAAACTGCTTTTAGCCTCACAGAGCATACTTGGGATGGAGTTTCTTACTCTTCCAACTAACATCTCATCCGGATCCTAAACAAGGTGCCAGGAATAGAAGGCATTACTCAAAACCAGGTTCATTTTTTTTAGTAGCAGATACCTAACAGTAGAAAGAAGGTTTAGGCTGATTTTTGGAAGATCCTGGTAGGTTTGCAGATAGGTTTCAGATTTTGATCCTTGATTTTGACCTATTGTGATGAGATGTCCAATTTATCTTGGGCACTTGCTGTACCTGGATATGAAAAGCATTTTTTTCTTCATTCCACTTTCTGCTCCATTCATTGAGGGCTCTCTGCCACTGTTCCTGGAATCCTGGTACGTTTCTCTCTCTCTAGAATGTCCTTCAGTATTCTTTGTAGAGTTGGATTGGTGGTCTTGAATTCCCCCAGTTCCTCTTTGTCTTGGAAGCATCTTGTTTCTCCATTAATTTCTAGAGAGAGTTTTTCAGGGTACATCAATCTAGGCTGGAGGATATTTTCTTTCAGGGCTTGGAATACTTCTCACCAAGCTCTTCTTGATTTAATGGTCTATTTCAAGAAGTCTGCCGTGATTTTGATGGGTTTTCCTTTAGAGGTGATCTGTTTCTTG